CATGCAAAGACCTGATCCTGTGACTGTTTGTAGTGGTTGAGGCTGTCAACATTCTGAAGGGTTGGTCAAGAAATGGGCATAGACATGGATGGGGATTCATCAGTAACAACACAGAGAATTGTATGGCGTTCCTGGTCTTGCATGTGGTCTTGCATGTGTTTTTCTGTGTTGGCAGCCTTCTACTGTAACTTAATCATTCTCCATCATCAATATATAATGAACCCAAATAATCAAATCAAACCTTCACTTAAGTCTTAAGTCTCATTGTTGGAAAGAAATATGCAACTGTTGTTGCTTCATAAAGTATGTAGAATGCACTAGTACTCTTTCCAACTCTATTTGTAACAAACCCCCCACAAATTTGGCTTAACTGTAGCTGAGCAGTGGTTAGATTCATAAGGTCCCATGTTTTTGAAGATGCATGAGCTTTCTTCTGGTGTGTCTGCCTCACACGGAGACCGTGTGTTTATCACAACTCGCCATGAAAGCAGCTCAAAGAGTCGGGAACCCATCAGAGAAGACAACTGCTTTCATTTAGCGGCTGACTTCAGAGACAGTGGAGGTCTGTCCTTCACCCCAGAAGAACAACAATGCCACAAATGTTGAAACAAATTTTAAATCCTGAAAAGTACAGATTAACTGTGAATCCCATAAGCACCACCTCATACCAGTATGGACAAACACACTCTCCCCCGCTCACAGTGGTGTCAACTAATTACAGAGTGGCGCCTTCTTTATCAGTACTTTGAGAGGAGGGGTGTCCTGTGCTGTCTCACCCCTGCAGGCTGTCTGGACATTTTTTAGACTCATACCCCCTGCGACAGAAACCAGAGCACATCCAGAAGCACTCCTCCAGAGGCTCATAACTCTCTCCGGAGCCTCTGACTCCTAACACAGCACAGTCTTAAAGTACTGCACCAAGCCTCATCTCACTAGCACAGATCAAAGTGAGAACCTTTGAAGGGTCCATATTGCACATTTTTCTTGAACACTATGAGCAAAAGTATCCAGACACGCCTTCTAATTTGTGAATTCAGCAACTATAAGTTGCAGTCGTTGCTGACACAGGTGTTCAAATGTATAATTGCCTTAGAGAAGCATTGCCAATATATTGGGACACTCTGGAACAGCCATACATGAGTCTGAGGTCATCATGCCCAATGCTAAGCGTCAGCTTGAAGGGTATAAAACACCCAGCATTGGATTGTGGAGCAGTGGAACTGGGTTTTTCTGCAGTGATAGAGCTCCAACCAGTATTTTTAGGATGAGTTGGAGTGATGTTTGTGATCCAGAACTAATCATCCAACATCAGTACCTGACCTCACTAATGCTCTTGTGGCTGAATGCAGTCAAATGCTTACAGGAATGTTCCAATAAGCCATGTAAAGCCTTCTCAGAAGAGTAGAGGCTGTACAGCAGTAACTGGAGACAGACTCCCTTTTAATATGCTTGATTTCAGTTAAATAAAAACACTGGATGCAGACATGTACACAAATTTTTGGACAGTCCACTTTGGATGGTTTCATACAAAAAAAGTAATTCATTTTTACATGCTCATTTTCCAAAGATGTTTTTGTTACTGTGTCTTTACGCCTGATATATTTAAATGAGCTCTGTTTTGACTGGCTGCCCTGTATTGAGCCTTATTCAAAAAATAGTCTGAGCTGAAATGCACAACACAAACTCTTTAGCCTTAAATCCTCAGAAAAAAACTCCTTTCAAATGTCTGAATTTTTTGGAGGGCTGCAATGATGCATTTGATTTGCCAGTAACAGCACTACTGAGCATGACAGCAGGAAACATGCAGTTTACATCTATGAAAATGAAGAGTACAAAGGACTGAATCTAAACCAGACCAGAACCTGACCACTACCAACCAGACTGCAGAGCTTGTTATTTCTCATGATTTTGCCCCTTTTCACTTTACAGAACAAGTTTGTTCCTGTTGTGCACCATGTCAGATGATTTCCAGATTTGTGATGAACATTCTTTTGGGTACACTAATGAATAGATTTGCTGCTTTACTTCACTTGCATCCATTTTCACACTCACGTTTGCTGTCTGGACCTTGCTGACCAGTGTGCCAGGCTAAAATGTGTTTATGGTAAATGCAAATGGGCTCTGAGAAACCCCAAGGTATTAGTTCACTTTGTTCACTCAATTTGATATTTGAAAAAAGGCAAGTGTAGTTTGAAATAAATTGAACTTGTTTGGATTCTGTCCTGCATTGATATTTGTGATACCACCACCAGAAATGGGGTAGGCAAAGTATTTAACACATATGTTATGGGTGAATATATTGATATTAACAAAGATCAGGCCTGTATCTTTGCATGAGCCTAGCTAAGTTGAATTTTGGCTTAATATAACATTGTATAAAATTGAATATAAAATATTTACAGCTCACATTTGGACAACATGAGTTTGTTTTATAAGTTTTATAATTAACCTAGAGTGACAAACATTGTGGTTGTGTTTTGTACATGCTTCTAGAGGAGTAGTGCTCGCAGCAAATAGCAAAAAAAAATACACTCGAAGCTTAAAACTGTGCTGCGGCTGCTGTTGGCCACGCGACAGCCCATGTAAATCGCTACACTGAATGCAGGAGTGAGTTGCAAGTGGCAGCAGGTCAGAAGCAGCATGAGTTCTGGTTTCAAGCATGCTTCACCTGCCTGTGCTCTCATTCAAAAGCCAAAAAAAGCAAAATGGAAATATGTGCTTATGGTTGTGACATGTCCACAACCGTTGTTAGCTTGTTACTGTTGCGGCGTTGTGGTGTTATGCTGGCGATTGCAGCCACATTGCTAGCTGCACATTATAACGTTAAATCTTCCATGCTTTCACATTCTATTCACAACAATATATTATGTACCCATCCATATTTCAGATAAATTTTTCATAGAGTCATGACTTTAGCACGGTGTACTGTCTCACGCCGACAGAGGAGAAAGGAGAGAGGTAAAGACAGTCCTAACAAAAGAAAAGAAACAGATCGAATCACGCTGATGAAAGGCTCAGCCTTTGGACGGGACACAAATGGAGGACGGCCGAGGCTGGGCAGAGATGAAAGCTCACCGGTCTGATAATGATGACATTTTCTGGAGGAGCATAAACAGATGAGAATATGTTTTTGTAAGGTCCTCAAAGGATCGACTCCCTCTTGTGATTATTATAAGCAAACTGTTGAGTTCACACACAGAGAGCATGCTCTTTGTGATCTCTGCATTCTCCAGGGTGCGCTAAACCTGCACCTCTGTTTACATTACGCCTCTTCCTAGAACAGGGTAGATGTGTTTGTGTATGTGTTTGTGTTTGCTTTTGTTTTTCCACTTCACCTCACAGTTTCCAAGATTTGTTTACCGGTTTAGAAAGAGACGAGCTTGTTGACCAAGTGCTTGAATTGTGTGTTCTCTCTCCAGGCCACCTTTTCTTACAAAAGCAAAAGCTTTCAAAACATTTTTTGACTAGAGATGCCTTATTGGTATCTATGGATATCAGTATTGGGCTGATATCATCAGAAAATGCTGGTTTAGATATCAGGAAAAACCAGAATGAGTCTTATCCAATCCTGTAAAAACCTAGCCTGAAATAGCACTCACTTTTGTTGTGTGTTGTGTGTTGTTAGCTGTGTATTCCTGTAGGGTAGTAAAGTGTTTAAGTAGTTTGAGCATGATTCATTTAGATGCTTCACTTAAAATAGCTAATTTAAAGCTTAATAGTTTTTAAACAAGAAATATCAGCTTGGTTGAATAGGGCTGCTAAAATAAAATTTGCTGTTTAATATTTGTCAAATCCAGTGGACAAAAGCAAATGCACATTCATCTCTATTGCAGCTCTGAATATGTTCCAGGCCAATTAGTAACATTATCACAAACGACAACTACCAAACGGAAGGAAGAACATGCTGTTGCTGACCTTAAACATACAAAACAGGAATGATTTATTTAGGCTTTAATTAGAGTTTTAAATTGCACAGCTTTTAGAAGCTTCATCACTCTAAAGCAGTGTGTCTGAAGCATTCTGAAACCAAAAGATCTGCTTCAGACTGCAGACTTTTCCCTGAAAAACTAGTGCTCCGATTGTGGACACTTTATAGCACAGTAAGCTGTAATCATGCGACATTTTGTAAGGTAGTGAAGTTAGCTGCTAGTTTAGCTGTGTGGCTAAGTTGCAGTCTGCACCAGCGTTACGCACTTTTTCTTCCTTTCTCTATAGTCAGTGTCCTATCACTTTCAGTATAGCTGCTTTCTTGAGCTTATAATGGCGAGGAGATATCACTGGCATGGGGATTTTATGTATATGTCCATCTCAGAGATACATCACAATAGACCTATGTACCTTTCCTGACAACCATCTAATAAGGTGTGGCCCCCAGGTTGAGAACAACTGGTTTAAACACTGAGTTTTTGGTGGGGTTTGTGCAGAGCATAACCCCACTTTGTGGATTTAGGTGACTTAATATTGACTTTTTAATATTGACTTAATGTTGACTGCAGTTATGTATCCTGCTTGTTTTGTTTACAAAATAATCTTATTTTTGGAGAGGAAAAGATGTATTTAAGTGTATTTAAATTTGGATATATTTGAATATTTGACAAATAAACAGAGTAAAGAATTGAATTTTATTTCTGGCCCCACCTGACAGCCCAAGTATTGACTCATACTCAAGGTTTCCATCTCGGAAAAGAAAAATTGTTTAATCTCTAGTTTTGATAGATTGTCAGGTAACAGACGCTCTGTTGGTGAAGAAGTATACCCAACAGTGCAGCTATCTTTCAGGCATGTACGCTGTTTAACATAACAAAAAATTAAATACAACAGTGATGCATTACTGAATGTCCAACCTGAAAACATTATACACAAGATGATGATCCGTAGGTAGATTCAGAGAGCTGCTGCGGCTCGAGATGAAAGGTTCTGAGTGCTCTAAATAGGACTAACCTCTGTGTTCCTTTGTGTGTTTGTGTTTGTTTGTGTGTGTGTGCATTTTCCTTTTATAGACCCATCCTGCTGCCATCATGCTGCCGAGTTCTCTCAGTGTAGAGAAGCCTGCGATCAGGTAAGAATGGTGCACAAGTAATGTGGCACACAACAGTATACAAACACATATAACATTCCTACTAATACAGTACATGTTAGGAGTGTGAAATGACCTGTGGGTTCAATACAGTGTATAAATATTTCTTGAGCAATATTGATCAACATTGTTCTGTAGGGTTAATATTCAAGATTAGAGTTGACATTAGTGGTGGCAAAAACAGCATTTATTATTATTGTGATGAAATTGTGCAGAAGTTAGAGATTTTAATTATTGAAGTTCCAGTCAAAACAGCCATTAAGTGCAAGTTATTCAGGAGATTTTTAAAGAGATACTGCTGAGGAGATTAGATATAAGGTAATCCACTTGTATATGGAAGGGGAAGTCAGAGAACAGTAAATGAAAAAAACTGAGTTTCAGAAACTGGAGTTTAAATGCTTATTAAAAGATTTAGAGAAAACGGGACTCTTAACAACCATGCAAGATTTGGCAGACCACTAAAACCATCGCCCCACCATCAGATAAACTGTATGTAAAGCTTTCGTTTTTGAGTGTCTCCACTATAGCTGTAGAGCTGAAAAAAATCCAGTGTTTCTGTCCATCCTTCCACTGTGTGAAGACAATTCAGTGCTATGAGTCTGAAAGGATGTGTAGCTGTCAGAAAGCTCCACCTGATAAAAGATTTAACATCACTGAATATATTTGGAATTGCTTGAGATCCAGCCGAACTTTGCAGCTGTGGAAAATTTCCTTGCAGATTTCTTTGAATAACTTACAAGCAAGTCTCCTGAAAAGAATGAAAGACACTGAAAATACTGAAAAAACATTGTTGCTGAGGCCTCTGTGTTTATTGTTAAATAAATGTTTTTCGCGTTTTCCCTCACACTGAAAAGTGAATAACTTAATGGCCTTTTGACTGGAAATTAAATAAATGAAAGATTGTCTCTGACTTTTACACAGTACCATACATCAAATCAAAATACACTGTTCTGAACATATTATCACGAGTACTTAATGAACACTGACCAACTGCGTGTATCATTACAAAGAGAGCATAAATAGTCCCATTTAATTGGATTTATACATTGCAGTATGTGCAACACTGAATAAAAAGCGTTATGCTCACAGTTTTTAATGGTAGTCAAAAAAACAGTGTACTGTGAAAATATCTGCTTCGAAGAATCGGATTATTATATCTTTGCCATAGTGCCCCCCTTATTTGACATTGCAGATTTCTCTAACATTACTAATGACACTTTGAGGTCTGATGGGTTTTAATTCATTCTTTGTTGGGGTTTAATTAGGCTCAGCTCTTGATGTGGTGTAAATGTGAAGACAGCATCCAAAAGCTTATTCTTAGCTGGCCAAAAATTAGCCATGATTACAGAAATTGTTTCTGAGATCTTAGACTCTCTTTATTCACGCTGCCAGTTCTGAAATTCAGAATCTTGGCCCATCTTGAGAGATGTGCACTTCTTTAGTTATTTGTCGAGCTAGTCTGGATGAATACATTTTTTGGTATGTGGGTATTTCACTCTCCATCACTTGTTGTGAGTAGTGAAAGGAGCATTAGCCAACAGAATGCAATCCTTATTTGCCGAACAAGGCGCTCAGTGTCAGCTCTGCAAGAAATATATAGACTGTTTGGACGTGAAGTGCTGAGGGTTTTTTTTTCTTCCTTCTTTGAAGTTGGGTGATGAGAGAAAGAACGAATAGAAGTTTCCCTCACTCCTCCTGCTTTACTGAGGAGCAGGTGAGGGCTCTTTGGCTTACTTTTATTTACTGCGGAGGGGGGAGAATGCGATGGGGCCAAGCAGACTCGCGTCTGTCTCCTGAGCCCCAAAAGACATGAAAGAGACATCTGAAAGGGCTCTTTTGGGCAATCAGAAACAGGCGGCCAGTGGCGTTACTTTAACCTTCAGCCCTCTGCCAGCAGCAGCCCCCTCCGTACTCCTTAAAGTGAAGGTTCATTCAGTCTACAGTGGCTGTCGTGACAACAGACTGGCCTAGAGAAGCCCTCTTGTGCCCACAGTTGCACCTGCCGATGAGAGAGAGAGAGAGAGAGAGAGAGAGAGAGAGAGAGAGAGAGAGAGAATATATAAGCCTGAATTGTTCATAAGTGAAAAATATAGACAGCATTGTAGAATGATAAAAAACATGGACTGGAAATACAACACAAAATCACAGAGGCTGAGAGATCGACAACACGAAAGGCAGGGCCAGAAAAAGAGAGATTAGAACAATAATGACACCTTGTTAGTGCGGGTCTGTAGCACCAGCATTTTGCGGAGAGAGAGAGAGAGAGAGAGAGAGAGAGAGAGGGGAAGGTTCCAGGCTGTGTCGCTGCCTCACACAGCCGTAATCTCCCGGCTATTTCATCTTAATGGAAGCCTGGAGCTTTGATGAGACGAGGCCTTCAGCCCTCTGAAAGGAGGAGGACGGCCCTCTTTAGATGTTCTGCCTGGCACCCGCCATTGATTTAGCCTTCCAAAAGAAAAAGAGAGAAAAACTTTCCTAAATGGACTGGATAGGTCATTCGCTCGCAGAGCCTCTGGTCCTTTTCTGTTGTAGCGTGCAGCAGGTTCCCTTTGATGAGCCGCCAAGAAATCACTGCCCATCAGCTGCTCTTGTTTTAAGTATACGCTGAGGGGTTTTTCCAGACTGTATGAAATTACCATACATCAGTCTGGACTAGACACCTTAATTAATTTGAGCTTGTCAGCAAATGCGCATAATTTAATACTGTATGGAAATCTTGTTATTGTTTGCACATGTAGAGTATGGTCTCAAAATTTTCTTCTTCCTTAATATATTTTAACTTAATATTTCTTCAAGACTTTATGGACTTCCATACACTTTTTTTGTGAGTCTCCACGGTAGGTGCTCTGTAGACGTTCACTTTGTCGCTCATTAATATTCAACTAAAGGTCACTAAATGCAACTGAACATTACTTTGAATGTAGATTATATTAGCCCTAAGCTTACACCTAACCCTAACCTTGACTTCAATCTAGAACCTAAACCTAACTCAAACCCTAATGCTGTTGATAATCTCCAGTGTAGTCTCAAAATAAAGTGTGACCTGGCTCTTCATTCCAGCACATTGGAGTGGAAGTAAAACAATAAAGTGCAGAATATCAGCTTTAATTTTAGTGTATTAATGTTGATGTAGGAACCACATCACTTTTATACATAGTAATCATATTTCAGGTGTCCATAAGTAATTAGGCAAATCAATATATTTGTTTTTTCTCGAAAAATATTTTTAAAAATTATTTTTTGTTATATAAAATATATAGCTATAAATTAGTCCCCAAATGTTTTCACAGGGCATAGAATTGCACTGAAAGTATTTTAGGGTTATTGCATGAATTAGGAAATAATAGTTCATTGTATTCACCAAAATGTTTAGCTTGATAGCTAATACTAGCTTTATTTACAAATACATAGTTTTCTACCTATTTTTGCGCAGGAGTACAGTGCCAAAACAACAAAAACATTTTAATTATCTATGGGCCGCACTGTGTCCAAATACTTTTTCTCTGTTTTAAAAAAAAAATCAACTAAAGCTACTAAGTACTATTCGGACGAGAACTTTACTTGGGAAGGTGGGATATTGTAATTATAACAGTTGTTTGGTTTGTCAGTGATTTCAGTCCTTCTGTATCCACCATGTCAGTCATTTTTATGGACTGCACACTCCAGCGTTAGTAAAATTTCTTCCATCTTTTACCCACCATAAAGCGGATCGTAGAAATGACCCCATATTATGTTAATCCTGTAGGAGTCACCATGGCGGTAAAATTTTCATGTGTTTTGGTAAGGAGGCACTCAAAGAAGCATTTACTTATATTCTCTGTGGCCAATATGTATAGTGCTTCCTCAAATGTACAACCCTGAACATTAAAGCCTGTAAAATGACAGAAAAAGTTTGATTTTATGCAGCAGTGTTGACTTTTGGCTGTAAACGAGCTAACAACAATGCTAATGACACTGCATTCACTTAAGATAGCTAGGTAGGGTAAGGGTAAAGGAAATTGCAATTGAATGAATTGTTTGGACATGAGCAGCCGTACGTATTGCTTGTGGAACTTTTTGGTGTGGCAACAATGCATCGTATCCAGATTTCTTATCACATGCGAATTGTTCTACACAGAAAACTTTACAGACGTCCTGAGGTAATTATATTAATTACATTACCCCACCTCTCCGTGTAAGACTAATCCTGTCTGTAGTACTCTATTCAGAGTGAGTGTGAAACAGTTGCTTATAATGCACAAGATGACTCACCGGTGATTATTTAGGACTTAAGTGAGTTTTGGCAGACATATGTTCAGGTAAAGAAAACTGACAGCGTGTCCCAAAGGTTTGAATGGTAGTTAATCTCTCATACAGTATATTTTCTCAGAGTAATCCTCAGCACCCAGCGCTGCCTAAACAAATTCAAAGCAACTATGACACCCTCTTGCCTATGGCAGTTGTTCCTGAGACTGGGTTTCTTCAAACAAACATAAATCAACAGAATTGAAGTTGCTTCTCTCTTCCAAACCAGAATGTGTTGGCAGATAATATGTTCCCAGAGCACGATGACATTAATGAATGGTTATAACATGGCCCTGTTCAAACTCACATTCATCGCCAATTGATTTGGTTTGAGAAAAACAGAGATGGCAAGACTCTCAGGCCACAGACCTAATAGTGCTGGAAGACTGTGAGATTCTGCCATTTGGAGATTGTTTCAGAGATGGGTTCCAAAACAGGTGTGGCCAGTGCTCAAAACAAGTGAGAAATATAAACAGTTGTCTGCTTTCGTGTCCCCACAAGCACAAGAATCACTGAATGTCTTTGTCTTGCCTATTTGCTGCTGAATCCTCGCTAAATTGTACTGTGTGGAACGTTCTCATGGTGACTCTTTGTGAGTATAATTGATTCCATGATTCTCTGTCAAAATAAGAAAACACACAACTCATGAGCATTTGCATTGCTGAAAGGAATATTTGTAATGATTTATAAAAGCACTGTGGGGTCACACATCCCTGATAAATCGATAGTTTGATGGAAAATCAAATCAGATTTTCCCTTTATCCCACTTTTAGTTGATCAGTCAAGGCATGTTTTGTCTGTATTTGCTTCTTTTTGTTTTGTACTTGAGCTATGAGGTCAATGTAGCTATCAAGTAGTGGAAGCTTATACCCAATCAGTTAGCATCATGCAAACTTCATGCAGTGAACAGTCATCTCAAAACCTCAATTTTGTCTGTATTCATGTTCATTTTTATAGATACTGTATGTCATTCTGTGTCAAATACACAAGATTAGCCAACAACTAGGCAAATATGACATTTGAAGCATGTGCAATTGCTAACTGGTGAGTTAAATGCTTCCATTACTTTAGCTTTGTACCTCCAGTGCAAAACAAGACTTTGTACATCAAACACGTCTTCGCTGAATTACATTTACTGATAAGGGTGATTTAGATTTGTCGCCAGACTATTACTTCAAGATATCAACTTTTAAGTGGTGTTCAGCAATAAAATCTTGATTTTCTTTCTTCTGCTTACAGCTTACAAGTATTAGAAGTGAATCCCATTTGAGGTTCCTTTACCAGCGTCTACCAAGCTACTGTCCAGAGTCTATGGTAAGCTGAGCCTCCTATCTATCAGACTGAGCTCTAAATTGTGGTCAACGTTGAAAGCTGTCGCCTAAACACCACAGGAAGTATTAAACAGTGGCCATTCTTGCTCGCCGTACACCCCTTTGATTTTGCAGTGCTGTGGTCTCACCTGGTCGGGGTTAGATGTATGAAAGATGAAGGCTGGAAAACAGCTTCATGCCCTCCACCATCATCCCTAATTACAAACCTGGAATGCTGGCATAAGCAACGTGCAATTAGAGTCAGCCTCTAATTAGCCGGCGAGTGGAAAGCTTTATTTTATTTGGACATGTGTCTCGCACTAATTTGCCCAAATGGATTCAAATGGATTTTGGAAGTGGTTTTGCAGAGAGCTCAAAATCTCTTTCTGCGTTCCTCACAGTTATGTGTGATCTAAAGGGCCACCCATTGGTGAGGAGGTGCATAAATGCGATTGTGCTTGCAAGACATCGAAGACTACTGTGAATTTAGAGCATTCTCTTCTTTATGAAGCCTATGTATGCTTTGAGTTCTTTTTTCAAACTTCTGCCCTTCACAAACAACGATGATGGTCTTTGACAGGGGCTCCTTTTTTCAGCAGCCAGAGAACATGAAGTATTCACAGTGACGTACAGCATGAACCTCAAACAATATCCTGTTTATTCGGTTGATGATCTTGTCAAAGCCCGCAGCTTTGCTAGAATGGGCTCCCTCTGCAAGTCAACATGCTGTCTGCGTCATATGAGGAGGAGCAGCCAGTATCCTGAAAGCTTTAGCTGCTTAGTCCAGCACCATCTCACCACAAGGCTTTTTGCGACTTTTAATGAGATTGTTGAGTTTCTCGGATTAATATATTTTTAATTACGCTCAAGTCGTATTTAGAGTCACTTTGGAGCCCAGCTGAAATTTAAAACGCACTATAGCTAACCAAAAGAAAAACACTGCTGCCAAAGTACAATTCACTTTAATTTCAATTTGACTTTATTAGGTATAGCTCTTTTTACAACAGGCGTTGTCACAAAGCAGCTTTACAGAAATCCGGGTCTAAACCCCAACTGAGCAAGAAAATCCAGTAGTGGCAAGAAAGACTTTGAGAGGAAACAAAACTCAAAAGTGGAATAAGACTTAGGGGAATTTTGAATAAAGAAACAAAATGAGTCTAATCATCAGATGATACTCAGATTAACTAATAAAACCCAATGACTAAGCCTATCAGAGGTTATCTAAAAACAGTGCAAATGAGAATTAAATCCATGACTGGATTCAGTTAAATTCATTAAAGTCTCCAAGACGTCCAGTTGAGGCTTTCAGAGTGGCAAGAGTCTACTGAATTCATTTTCTGCAGGAAGTACAGCATGTAATCGTACCTTGTTGTTGTTTACATTCTCTCAGTCTAGTTTGATTCAGTTCAGTTAAGTCAGTTCAAATATTAAGACTTAAGCTTAGTCTTTAAGACTACTTTCCATGAGCAAAATCAGGTAGTCTGTTAAACTGTTCTCAAGGAATACAATGAGGACATAGGTAGGCACAAGATATGCACTTAATGCATAATAAATATACAGCACAACTTCCAAGCAATCCTTTCATCCCAGCAAAGTAACAGATTGCCTGCAGATGTAAATGCTTAAGAGCTTTATGCAGGTAAACACAGAATACTCCTGTAAATCCTTTTATATAACCCAGGCTGATGTAACTCATAATTAGCCCAAAATTTGATCCATATCTAAATATCTACAGGACTGTGTTAAAGTCAGAGACCAATTTTTATTTATTTAGTTTCTAGTCAAACCGGCCATTAAGTACGTAAGTTCATTTTTCTGGAGATATTCCTTAGGATATTAAGATATAAAATAATCCTCTTGGATAAAGAAAGGAAATGTCAAAGGAAGTTAAGTGAAAAAACAGGAGTTTCCAAAACTGTAGTTAAAAAAAAAACATTAAAAGATACAGAGTAAAAGGAGCTACTAATAATTGTGCAAGATCTGGTAGACCACCAAAAACATTACCATCAGATAAGCAGTACCTTAATCTTTACGTTTAAGAGAGAGGAGAAAATCAAGCTCCACTCCTGCTTCAGATCTGAAAAAATCCACAGGTGTTTCTGTTCATTTTTCCATTATGAGAAGACAGCTCAACACTATGAGTCTGAAAGGATATGTACCTGTCAAGAAGCCATTAGTGAGAATCACCTCTTGACCACAAAATTAGTCCAGAACTAGGCTTAGTTTTGGTGCAGGAAACATTCAGGTTTAACCTTCGAGTCTTCTACAAACATGTTGTCTTTGATGTGTGTCTCTAATACCTTATAAGACCTTGCTCTTGTTTCTTTGCAGAATGAGCTTTGGATCTGTATCAACTCTACGTTACCAGGTAAGAAATACAGCCAGAGCTTCTCACAGGGATGTGTAGGGGTGTTAGCTGAGCCCACCTGTGTTTTCGCCTGTGTACCAGTCTTAAAAGAATAAGAGAGGCTTTAGACTGTCTGAAGATCTAATGCCTCCCAGATGCAAAAATATCATAGCTCATATCCATGAAACCCCATCTAACAATACCCATTAAAGTACTGGTCCAGATCTTTGAGGTTCACCATGAAAGGAGCCAGAATTGAACCCAGTACATTAAAAACATGTTGGGCAAAATGTTTGTTGAGATTGATGGTTTGGTGATGATAGTGCTGCTGAGGTTCATAAGTAGTGTGCATGTATTATTGCACTTCACAAAATCCAGCATCATGCTGTTCGAATGGATCTGGGTGAGTTCTAGATGAGAGAGAGAGAGGACATTGTTCTGTCACTCTTTGCTAACTTCCTAAGTTTGTGTCTTTGCTTGGTTTTTTAGGAGCATCAAGGAAATCAGATGGGTGGGTGGGTCTGGGCTGCTGTGAGTTGGCCATCTCAGCAGAGTGCCGCAGGGAATGCAAACAGGTAGTTACTTAAAATAGGTATTTCCTGAAATTTTGCAGATTTTCTGTTTCTAGCTGAAATAATAAAAATGACAAACATTTTCCAAAATGTTTTAGACATTTAGCAGAAATACAGATACTTTTTTAAAGATGAAGTATGCTCTGCAAGCGTACAACAAAGTGTCAAAATATAATGCTTTCCAGTAATTTCATTGAGTAATAGAAGTAGTGGTTCCTCCACTAGCAAGGCAAAACCTTATATTTCTATATAAAACCCTTATTTCTTAGTAACTGTATATGTACATGTATAACTCAGTAACAAAAAATGTCCTATTGAAAGGACTGACTTGTCAACAATAAGCAATATATTTTTCATTACTTTTACTTTAAATTACTATGTTTTATGCAAAAGGCAAAAAAATGTCCATTATGTTATGTGAATTGACTGTTGTATTTAAAACCTTTGTCAAGTTTCTCTGCAGTCTCAGCTGTTGTCATTATCTGTAAACTATCTCTGTCATATTTTTTGTCTTTTTTTTTCAGGCATCTTCTAAGAACGATATCATAAAAGTATGCAAAAAAGACACAGAGGTGAGTGTGTGTAACACCATGTTGTACAGAGGAAACCAAAATCTTTGCAAGTCTTTATCAAAGTTATCAGTAGAAATGGAAAAAAAAAAGGCAGAAATGGGGAGCCTTCATTATAGCTGTACATATCAGCGAGTGTAACAGCCAATAACTAACCTATGGAATAAGAGGGGGCTTTCAAAACACACTAGATGTTTTATGGCTCAGATTTGTACTTTAATGCATGTGTAGTTACAAAGCAAGTTTCTTTAGGTCAAAACATGAGCAGATACACTCATAATAAATACTGGATACGTCTAATTTCGTCTTAGATTTGTCAGTGTATGTTTATTTTTATGCAGATTTAGAGATAAAAAAGCAAATAAACACTACAGCAGATTAAGCTTTTATCATATAAGCAACTCAGTGTTCACGACTGGTGCTGACTTCTCATTTCTTTTATTTGTTTGACTTGAAGGGTTATTGCAGCATGTCTAAAACTTAATATTTGTCTTTATTGCTGTGTCAAGCAATAAAACAGCCTTTTCCAACCAGCCTTGTCCTCCTCGTGAGGTAATTTCCTGTCAGTTGAACTCTGAAGGGAAGTAATTTCCGTGTTCTGACTGGATATGACATATATAAATTATGATCCAATATAGCTGGAATTTAGGTGTCTGGGTGTAAGCAAAAATGTTAAGTAAACATCAAAGAAAATGAAGTCTTCATATTTCTCAGTGCAGTACCCAACCTAGCTCAGAACCTAGCGCTGTTGTGTGCTTAACTTTTTTGCCTCCCCCCCCCCTTTAATCTCCTCCGTCCAAACAAACAAACAAACCAGCAGGCATAATGTTTGGTTTGGAGCAGACTCCCTCCAGCTTTAAGGCCTGGGCTGCTTTCATCTCGCGCCCTCCACTTTACGAGGAGTCTCAGTCCGAGCCAAAGCACGCAACAATGCTGGCTAACCTTTATGAAGCTCTGACAGGAATCTCAAGATTCTTCACTCAGAGAGGATTTCAAAGTAAGGTGCTGACGAGCAAGCAGGGCACACATGCTGTAAGGCCAGAGTGATCATGATGCAGTACTTGAAGACAGCTTGGGAAGAAGAACCTTACAGTTGGTGGTGTTCTATTAGCCAGCAATTGCCTGGAGCATGAGAAAACAGCATGAGCTTATGATTTAACCCCTTAAATGGCTGGGACCCCATGGCAGGGCCAAGCTTCTATAACTTAAGAACACCTGAGTTATAATAAGCCTGGGATTTTAAGGGGTTTAACTTGTTTTACATCTGTACAAAAATAATGCAGTGGGAGGTTGGAGTTCTTGACATTTCTCAGAAGCAGAGGAGGAGGAAACAAAGAGCTGTTTGAACACATAGTCTGCAGTTCAGATATTTTATCTGCTTGTCTTTTGATGTTGAAAGATAAAATAATCTATTTATCATAGCGCTGCCAAAACAGACACATAAAGGAATTATTTTCACTATCGTAGTAGTTGTCCATGATGTCTGTATATAACATGCTCTCCTTTCTTCTCCTGCAGAAACCGCTCTACAACTGTATCACCAAAAATGAAAGTAAGCATATTAAAAATGCATAAAAATACCACAGAAAAAGCATATGCTGTCACCACTGTCACTATCAGTCAGCTATTTCGCCTGTACTTCATTTTGCTGTTCCTGAAGTAATGTATTTCCTACAGAGCTCTGTGGCTTCTATGTTCTTTAACATATGGATGTGAAAAGGAAAAGAGACTCCATTCTGTTGGCAAGTCATGTTTATATGCCTGCAAGGCAGGTTCATGACCCCCTTCATGCTGAAATTTAGCCTGCCGTTGAGCTGACCAGTGAATGAAATGCTTATTTGTGTTCATATATGAGAGTGCTGCCCTGCGGACACCGTCAGTCACGGTATGGGCTTCCTGTCCAGACTTTGGACAGGGAGACATGTGGCCCTCTGCACAGTGGCACATAACCTGCAGTTCAAGTGACCCAAGGGGCCCACAGCAGATCTGTTTCTTTGGCCATATGCAGCTCAGGGCTGTAGCTGGTGTTTGCATTTTAGTAGACATGTTTCTGCATGCATGTGAGCAGGGCTGTCATGATCAATTATATCAGTAATTGGGTAATCTGCTGATTATTTAGACTAATGATAAGGTATGCAGGGTTTTTTAAAAACAAGCAATAAGCAATAAAAATAGACTTAACTGAACAATAACATGTACAAAGTACTTTACTGAACAGAGATAAACTTTAAAAAGCCTTCATTAAACATAAGAACACTATCTGACAGAAGAGGTATATAAATGGTTGTGTCGATAGGGCTCTGTTTCTTACTGTAAGAGAGATCATTAGGAGAATTTCATGTTCATGTTCAATTTCAATTTTTATGCATTACTGTCATTACTGTCAGTTTTTTTCATATCGCAAAAGCTGTCATTTTAATGATACCTTGCATTATTCAGTGTTGTCTTAGTACGTTCAAAATGGGATTATGTAACCTAATAATGCTGCGCTTGTGAACTGGCATGCTACATTCATTAAGCTTTAAGTCAAAAAAAAAAAGTGCTGCTCTTCTTTGTGAAAAAATGACCTGGGGCTTAATTTAATCACAAATGCAGTTTGGTCAGAAATACCACAGTTAGATGTTTTCACCAAATTGTTCAACCTTAATTATAATGTAAATTGCCCAACTAGTCATTGCCAATTTATCAGACATCCCTACTGATTTTTCTTTACTTGATTAATAGACTTAATTAATGGACTTGATTAATAGGAGTCATTTGGGAATTGCATGAACTCATTGCATATTGGTCTCTGCTCTGCTTCTGTGTTCTCCAAGTGGGCTCCGTTTGCTGCAGCTATGCAGGGAGACACACAAACTGCCGCGAGTACTGCCAGGCCATCTTCCGCACGGACTCCTCACCCACCGTCTCCCAAATCAACGCCGTCAATCAGTACTGCCAGAGCATCAGCCCACAGCTCATCAAATGCGTGGCCAACTACACCAAATCCTACCCAACCAGGAGTCCCATTGACAGTGAGCATCACCTTACACTCTTACTGTACAGTCACAGCACAGCAAAAATTACTAGTCTCACATTAACTCTTAGTTTACGTAAGCCTACTGTGTCCTGAGTGGAACCATATATTGAACCCACTAATGGTCTCAGTGTAACTCAGTAAAGATGTAACATTAGTACAGTCTTTTTCCAGTTATTATTTTACACGTGTTGGTTAATAATCTTAAATTATTTTAGTCTTATTCATCTGCATATTGACAATGTTATTTTTTGAAATTTGGTTTACAAAAATTAAAATGACAAAATGCAGTACTCTGTATATTGAGTATATTGAAAAGCTGTTTATCTGGGCAGTAAGCATTTATTTACTCAGAAAAACATTAATATTAGACTAAATTTAACTAATATTAATACAATAAGTAGTGATTTTACATATGTGAATATACTCATTTAACTGTTTCCCAGCATCTCCTTGAAGAACTCCAATATTATTTATAGTGATCATCCAGCACTTACTTTGGCTAATCAGTAATTCATTATGTTAAATCAGGTGTGCTGATGATACAATTTAAATCTCTGTGATGGCTAGGGGCATCGAGTTCTAAATACGTTTTTAAAAACAAGAAATTATTTTTACTTTTTTCCTGTATTTTTGTTTATTTGTATTTATTCTAATTACATATAGAGTTTAGCTGGCATAAACACTTACTGCCAAGAAAAAGAGTTTTAAGCAATTTGCTTAGGTGCTTTGGTCCTGCTTTTTCACAGTACTGTATATAACATATCAAACGGTATACGATATACGATACACAATACAGAAAGAACTTATAAAAAAAGCTTTCCATAAAAGACAACAGATAGCAAGTCAGAAAATATAGGAACAAAATCAAACATGAACCCATGTTCTTTTTACCATCTCAAAAGATATCAACTACTTTTTTGAAAACAAGACATTCTCATTTCTTTTTACTGCATCTGTGTTTGTTTCAGTTTATTCTAAAGATATATGTTGTTTTTACAAGCAGGGACACTTTTACTGCCAAGATAATTGCTAACACACTACTTTTGCATAGTACTGTATGTAGGAATGTAGGATGCACTTTGATCACTTCTTAAAATGTGTTTAATTGCTGAGAAAATATATATATTTGGTCTTAAGTAAAGAGGGGATTGTGCAGTCACAGAGATGTTAGGAAAAATAAGGGTGAAAACAACCCAAGTGAACAAGATCCTGTATCACTTCAGAACAAAACAGCAAAATGTGCTGAGCAGAGGAGCTCCAGAGTGAAGCATCGCTCTATGCCAGTGGAGTTTTGTGCGTTTATAGTGTCATCTTTTCTAACCAAAACTGTACGTGCTGCTCTAGGCCTGTACTGTTGTGACCGTGCAGAGGAGGCCCATTGTCAGACCGCCTGTAAACGCATCCTGCGCACCATGACCGCAGAGAACGAGATCATAGAGAGTCTGATCGCCGAGTGTGGCAGTCAGCCCCTCCCTCAGGACCCCCTGTGGCAGTGCTTCCTGGGTAATGTTTACCCTCCTACCAAAAGCAACCCAGAAACCTCACCCACAGCCAAGATGGACTGCGCCAAGCTCCACTGCTGCTCCAAAGCTAATACCTCGCTGTGCAGGTCAGTTCACAGTCACTTAGTGCCAGTAGGGGCCCTTGATGTTTGGGAGAAACAAGTGAATCTTTTAGCTATTCTGGCTGCAAACTAGGACGGGACATGAAATGAAAATGAGTGGCTGCTGGAGTAAGTAGGTGGTTCACTATCAGCAATATTGGCCCTTTAAGGGAAAATATTAGAAATGGACAATTTTTTGCCTCAGCTTCTAAGGGTTAGTGTTAAACATTTACATGGGCCCATGCTTCTGTATCTTCCAAGGCAGTTCATTTACTCTCTGTCCACCAGGGACATGTGCCAGGAGATCAGCACCAACTGGGGCACTCAGACATGGCAGGAGTTTGACCAGCTGTGTGAGTACAACCCTGTGGAGACTGACCTCATCACCTGTCTGGCAGATGTGAGGGAACCATGCCAGCTGGGCTGCAAGGATCTCACCTACTGCACCAATTTCAATAACAGGTAACAGAACAGAGCCATTACGGGAAGCTAAAAAACATTCAGCGTGGGGGAAAACGCACAACTGTGATCTGGAGTTGCGCTGGCATGCCACAGTAATACACAGTTATGTATTTTACACTCTCAGCTAACTTTCAAAGCCTCTGTGAATTCACTGATGTGTTAAAAATGGAAACACTAAATTGTGCACCTCAGTAGGGCCCAGCCAATATGAAGATTTTGTGACAAATGCAAATTTTAAGGAGCTACAAAATCAGTGCTTTTAGTGACTGATATCCTTAAACTGTGATTTGTAAAATACTGTATGTCACTTTGTCACATTTCTTAAACTCATGTGAGCAGCAGAAACTCACAAAGCATTTTTTTTTGCAATGAAGACTGAAATTAATTGCTTTAATAACAAATGACATCAGTTCTTTTCAAACTGTTAAAAAATAATATCATTGTCAGTTCAGCCTCTGCAGCACCCCCTCTGGTTCAGCTCCACTATAGGTGCGCATGACGTAGATCAGTACTAGAGTACGAATGTACACCACAGTATGCAGTGTTACCTCCTTGTGATGATGATACCCTTCTTGTGCCATGCTGAACAAATGAGTATGACGTTATAAAAAGTACACTGCAAGAACACACTTCTTAGCTAACCAGATTGTTGTCACTCTCCTAGCTAGTGTTAGTTAGGGTTAGCTATGTGAGAAACTGTCCACAAAATGTGCCTGTGCTGAGCTATAAGAAATATATGGCATTTTGTAAAGGCATGCGTGCGTTAACATCACCTGATGTTATTGTCTCACCTATAGTTAAATGCAAAAGTTTGGCCTGCCCTGGTCAAACTGCATGTTTTGTTGATTTTCTAAGTAAAAATAAGTGAACACATCCTCTACAGAGAACACACTTCTGTGCATTTGAATGCATAATTACTTTTTATTTGCTGAATATAGCATATTGAAAAAATAAACATAAAATGAGCCTGTACAAACATTAAGGCACATTTTATACTGTGTTTAATTTATTGCAATATGTTAAACTCAGCAAATAAATATAAATTGTGCACTAAAGAAAAGTGCAGAAAATGCCATAGTTAACTTTGTTCTTTGTAGAGGTATTAACTTATTTTCAGCAATCAAAAAAACATGTAATTTGTCCAGAGGTGTTCACACTTTTGCCTACGACTGTATTCGTCAGACATATGAAGTACACTCCCACAGTCTCACTGTACTGAGTGACCTCTTCGTAGTCTGTATACACTATATGCAGACAACATGTACTATGCTGTTGTCTAATGATAGGTTTGCAGAGGTAAAGCTCAAATGTTTAGTGTGACTATATATTTACGAATGTCATGTTCCACAGACCGATAAATGTGCTTAGCCGTTTTCCTGGCGTTTTATGATCTGTCTGTTGCCAGGCTGATTTTGTTTCAAGATGCAAATCTGGTTTGATTTATTTTGGTAAGAGTGGTCCAGCATTGTTTTAGGGTTGGTAAGGCATAGAGCAGCTATATTCCACCCATGCTAAATCGTTTGTACGTTCACAGTCACTCCCTTTCGCCAAGCACACCAATCCCAGTGGGCCCTCCCAACAGTTTGAGGTCAGCCATGTAAAACAATGACAGTGAATTTGCAGCAGTTTCTTTATATTCATGGTTAAATGATGAAATGATGTGTCAGATGTTAAGACCGTTGTTTCTTTTCACATGTGGCTGGGTAAAAGTGAACACTCATGGTTTCTTTTAGAGGACATACTGTTTATGATGACCTATGACCTAATGACCTTTAGTGGCTAGTGGTGATGGATTCTGATGGTCAGAGATACAGAAATAAATGTGCAAGAGAAATTGTTAGTACAACACTGTTAAACCAGCACACATTGTACTGTTCTGAATTTATTGTTGTGCAGTAACTCAGGACCCTGAGGAAGGGCTTCAATTTATAATGATCACTAACCCTAACCCTAGGGTTACAACCACTAATCAACATAATTGGTCGATTATAAAAAATAGTTGACAATGAATTAAGTTAGCATTTACTGGGTTTAATGACATTTGTGCATCCCATTTACATCACATGACTGAAAGAGGGAAATATAGGTAGCACAGACTGCAGTTGAGGCTCTTGTACAAACCAAAAAGACTCACAAGGTGAGAAATGCTTCACTTTAACGTCATCTAAATAGATGGTTTCTTGTACAATGTGTAAAAGCAAGCTCAGCGGGCAGCGTAACCATCAGTCACAAGTATAAGAGAGAATATACACTATATCCACAGCAGAAACTTAGCATGGGGAGATACTAATATCTTATTAAAACTGTTGTCAAAAGTAAAAAAAAAAAACAGATCATCACTGTCTGCTTTAGAACTGATTCAATTTTAGTTCAGAAGACCTTTTAGTTAAGCAGAATTGGCTAAGGAGAGTTGCCATTTAAAACTGTTCGAAACTGCTCAGCTGAACTTCTCGGTTATCATGGCTGCTTGTATGCTAATGCACACAAACCAGCTCGGATGTTTTTAGTTTTTTCTCTCTGGGCTTCTGCCTTCTGTCCACATGAACACAGAACGTTAGGTCACTAAGATTTTTTAAACTAAGAGGTTTTTTCAGTATTTGAATGTACACTGATAAACATATATATTTTAAAATGCTGCTTGGTTATTGCTGTTTTATTTAGGGCGAACATGCTTTAGATCTCCTTAACCAACATGGGTGAAGACCGCACTGTTAGCATGATCTGTTACGTTGTATTTCAGAATTTGATGTAATTGACTGCACAGAAGCTTTTTTAATAAGATAAATGATTTTAAACAATGTACTTAGTCTTTTAGACATTTGAATTGAGTAAGATATGGAGTTATATGCATTGGTGTGTCCAAATGTTTTTTTCTTTTTTTTATATAGTATATTTAGTGTATATAGTGTCTCTAAATAAGCACACTAATTAGAAGTAGGCTGATTAATAACATGGATAGTGCTACCCAGAGAGATGTATCATATTAAGTTAAATATTAATTTTTATGTTTGCCTAGATATCATGTTTTGTAGTGGGGGAGACATTTGATGCAATCGGAGGTATTCTGAGTATTGTTTAGACTGGACAAGGATGATGGGTCTCCTCTTAGATGATGGCACCCTTGCTTCTATGGCGGGATTCAAAGGTCAGGCAAACAAACCCTGGCTTTGATTTCCTTTGAAGGATTCCTAGGGAAGACTGCACTGGTGGGCACCCCTGTGGATTTCAAAAGCTGTTGCGTCCTGCTCTGCGGGTGACTTGGCGCTGGTGCAGAACGCAAACAGAGCACAAAGTGATGGGGACAAACGTGGTGTGGAGTGTTGGGCACGCCTGCAGTGATGTGTGCTGTGTGGGCCACCCTGTGGATTGCGCCACAGCCCCAATAAACTCACCCTGACTGTTTAATGATGGAAGGAGAATGCATGCTGATGCCACCCACTGGGATATATCACCTCTAGCACTGTACGAGGAAGCTGTTTGAGTTGCATCATCCGTAACGTCAGGAAATGGACATGGCGAGGAAATCTCAACCAGAGTCACATTTAGACGCAGAGGGTGGGGGATAATGGGATGATAATTTGTGGTAATTTTAGTGATTGATCTTAATGTTTTACTACAGACATTTCCTCCATTTTATAGATTTTGTAAGTTCAGCATAAACAAACAACCAAATCAAAAAGCAAACTTCACTTTTTAAAGTAGTTTCATTTCAGTAAGGCTTTTATCTGCTTTTGGAACAAAAAAAGCTATTTTAAGGGGGTCATTTTGGGAGGAATGTGAGCTGTTCTCTGGGCAACTCCCAGCCACGGTGTAAATTTCTTGCATCCTCTCACCAAAATGAGTCTGTGCCCCACCCTTCAGTGGTTAAAGAGAAGGCTCGTGGGGTCAAGAAACATAGTAAACAAACCATTTTCTGACCAAGGATAAGCCTCCAACCGCACTCAGCAACCTCAATGTAGAAAATCAGTCCGCAGTGGCACCAGCCTATTCCTACATTGCCTACATGAAAAGAGCTCACTGTGGTGGATCATTAAGGAAATGGGGGCTCCCTCTGCTGCAGGTTTTCTTCCAAAGTCTTCCTTCACTAATGTTGAGTGTTGTGAGGTTTAGGGGCATGTTTCAGCCCCTATGTGTGGCAGTAAACAGTGGCCATCTGGAGTGGGACATTAACAGTGTTCCACAAACGTGCTTTGAATTACACTGCTTGTCAAAAGTTTGGGGACACGTAGCTTTTCAAATTATCTTTAATACAAATAAGCTTTTTTTTTTCATTGTTTTTTTTTTTCTTTTTAAAAACTTAACACACGGTACTGTGCAAAAGTCAAAGATCACCCTTCATTTCTTTAATTAACGGTCAAATGGCAGTAAAATACAAGATATCTTGGGACTGAAACAGAAATCCAGCTCCTCTTTTGCTTCATATCTGAAAACATCCGCAGGTGTTTCTGTCCATCCTTTTATTGAATGTGTTTAGGGTTACTTGGATCATGAGAAGCAGAAAATGCAACCACTTGTACTCATGGCTGTTTTGACTGGAAATGAAATAAATGAAGGGTGTTCTCTGACTTTTGCAGAGTACTTTTATTAAAGATTTAGCAGGTTTATTAAAACTTTACCAAACTTGTAACAATATTTGTGTGCTAGCTCGAGGATAATGAAAAAGCCCACACATTATATATCCTTGTTGTGATGTCAGCCCTCATCTATTTTCTGTTGTTCAGACAAAATTTGCTAATTAAAATCATAATATTCAGAAAATTCTAATTTAACACACTTCATCACTGTTTCTCTGGACTTCTATCTTGTATTTCTATATCTTCAGGCCCACAGAGCTCTTCCGGAGCTGCAACATCCAATCAGACCAGGGCGCCTTGAATGACATCAAACTGTGGTCCAATGGAACCATCCGGATGCCTCTGATGAGCATTCCTGTTCTGGATATCAGAAAGTGCCGACCTGAGATGTGGAAGGCAGTGGCCTGTGCTCTGCAGATCAAACCCTGCTACAGCAAATCAAGAGGCAGCGTCATCTGCAAGTGAGTATTATACTGTGTTCATAGGCTTGGTCTTTTTTTTCTGGCTGTAGCCATAGTGAGGTTAGACAGGTTTTAATATGAACATGGTGCATTAGTAATTTGTGATTTACATTAATAATTAGAAGTCCAGAGTTATTATTGTAATTTTGCTATACTTATTTCAATTACTCTTATCATCACTCACTCATTATCTAAGCCCCTTATCCTCCTGGGTTGCTGGGGGGTGCTGAAGCCTATCCCAGCGCTCATTTGGCAAAGGAAACACCCTGGACAGGTTTATTTAAATTACTGATTACATTCTTAATTTCATAGTAGGGTTGTCACACTGAACACCAAATGTTTATTGGACTGAACACAGAAAAATTTTTTTACAGCTTACAGCTTTTACAAAACCTTTCAATTGCAGGCAAAATACAGTCAGTCTGTTGCTAGCTTATTTTAACAGATAATGGAAGTGAAATATACTGAAAGTATTGAAAGTTAGAAGGTTGTTTGCCAAATTGAAGTATTGAAAAAGTATTTACAATACTTCAATTTCTTTGCAACTCTGTTTCATAGAGTTACATAATTAATTGCATTTACATTTGATTTACAATCTATTGGCAGATTTGAGTTGTACTTTCAACTCTTTTTTGGTTGTTATGCTGTCAAACAATGAGAAAAATATGAGAAAGATGTAAGAAATTATTCTGCCAAACAAGACTACATACACAGCTCAAATTCAAATCATAATAAAGTATCGCCTCTTGTAGTTACAAACAGAAATTCAGTATCAATTGAAAGTTTAGAATTTGCACTTTGCACAGAATTTCACAGCTTGTTTCAATGAGCTACGAGTGAGAGATAATTAATAAAAAAAAATGACAAAACGCTTTTGTTATCAGTGGCAGTAACTTCTGAGAGTTGGCAGTTATTGTTGTGCGTCGTTTTCACAGGAACTGGATTAGTTCATTCGAGTTTTTAATGGAATTAAGATGGCCAGGTTTTTTGCAGGTTTTCATGTGTTCTATTATAACTCACTGTGCATGACATGACAACCAACACCACCACATCAGCACTAAGGATGGTGCTGTGATTTGGTTGCTTGAGCATTAGGTGTGAGTGAGTCATTGCCAGGTTAATCTTTCAGGCTCAGAGATTGTTTGATCTTGAGTCGCTTTGCTGTAAGCATCTCAGCATACCAGCAGGAAATTAAAATTGTCGAGCGACAGAAACACACTTAGGAGCTGACAGCTGCAGCCTTGGCTGATGCGTGCTGCGGAGAGTTGTCAGGACAGCCAGGAGAGATATTCCACCTGACAGTTTCATTCACACACAGGCGCATCACTCACTGTTTTGTTTGCATTTATCACACCTGTATTTACACTTGGAGCAAAAGCTTGTCTGGTTGGCGATCGGCGGGCGCTCCGGTATTGTGAGGATTAGCCGTCCTCACGCAACTCTTCTGGAGAATGTTCTGGAATGATGTCTCTGCTCTCTTTGACGAGAAACACCCTGACTCCAGCAGCTTGGGACAAAGGCCTGTGTCAGTGAGTGATGACAGGGCGTGACCTCATACACATCCATCAGCATCTCTTCTTCGTGCGTGCTGTCCCAGCATGCCTGTGTGTGCATGCTTGGAAAAAGCACATAACAGTTTATTCAGGATGCTGTGGACAGTCACGTATTCTCTTCACGATAGGTTCTCTGGAAGTAGTGAATCTACAGGTTCTCTTTTTTGGAAAATTTGTCAGATTTAAGATTTCTTTATTGAAACTAATGACAACATATGACATATGGCAAAAGAAATGTCTTTTTCTGACCATCATTGATAGACCTTTGAGATTAGTTATTGGCTAAGGTTTGATCCAGGTGCATTTGTTCAGTCTAATTCAATGATAAGATAACAGTAAGTCCTTAAGCAGATGTGGGAGTTAGAGCAAAAATATAATATCGTCTCTGACGTTTACTTCAAAACCAGCTAGAATTCATTTTTACATGACTGTGTACCAGCCACTCTCTATCTCTTAAAATTACATTGACTGTTTTTGTTACTGTGCCGTTAAGACTGATATATGTAATTGACCCCTGTTCTGATTAGCTACCCTGTATTGTGCTTCAAAAATCAGTCCAAGCTGAAACACCCCTTATAACTTTAATGCAAATGGAAAGGGCTAAACAGCTGCAGCTGAAACGGCAAATGTACATAAATGCAGTGGTTTTTGTGAAATCGTAAATGGGCTGTTTTGTTTCCATATATGGACTGTATGGACGGGAGAGTGAAGGATACATTTTGTTGCTTTATCACTGTGGTATATAACAGTAAATAAAACAGTAAATATCATTATATTGCCCATTTCTAATTTATATAGAACCTGTCTTGCACACAAAGTGCTTCACAGTTGGGTCGCCAGTATCAATATGCATAAACGTATACATTTATACTACTTTTATCATAATTTCACTGTCCAGGGCAGTTCAGAGTTTAATAAATTCACCTTCTTACTGTTTCTCCCTCAGGCTGTCTGGGAGTTTTTCCTGCCATTCAACTCTCTGCTTATTCATTAGAACTCTGGGCTGGGATGTGTGTGGTTAATCAAAGACTCAGTTAGCAGTTGGAAATGATAAGGCTGAACACTATATGTTCAAGTGTTTGTAGATACCTGCTCATTAAATGTTCCCTCTGAAATCAAGGGTATTAATAGGGAGTTTGTCCTCCTTTGCTGCAATAACAGCCTCTACTCTTCTGGGAAGGCTTATTACTAGATGGTAGAACATTGCTGTGAGGATTTGATTGCATTCAGCCACAAAAGTATTAGTGAGGTCATGTACTGATGTTGAATGATCAGTTGTGGATCACAAACTCCACTCTAACTCATCCTAAAGGTTTTGGATGTAGCTCCATCACTCCAGAGCACACACTTCTACTGCTCCACAGCCCACTTACTAGGGAGATTTAGACCTCTCTAGCCAGAGTTTGGCATGACTATAGGCTCTCCTGGCTGCTCCAGAGCATCCCATTTTACGGCCAGTGCTATTCTATGGAGATTATGCAAGCTGCATGTGCACAATTGAACGTCTGTGTCAGCAAATGGGCTTATGTTTGTTCATTAACCCTTAGAATGTCAGTTAGCCCTGGTGATGACAAAAGTATGTTGTAATTTGATATTACTTGTTTTTCATTTATAGCTTATTGAAATTCTGTAGCATGTGCACAATCTGAACTAATGAAAAGTTATTATTGTGTGGATTGTCTTGTGTTGCATAAAGAAAAAACTATCATGTACATTATTGTTACTATACTACATTTATACTGAACCAAAACAAGTCAGAAGTGCAGACAGTTTATACAGTATAGTGTAGTGTAGCACAGCAAAATGACTTTAATAACTAGCAACATTTAAGGGTTAACTCTTACAGGCTAACATCAGTACTCTGGACGCACATTTCTGTAAAGCTGCTTTGTGACAATGGCTATTATAAAAAGTGCTGTATGAACGGAGTTTAATCGGATTGAAGAAGTGAATAGGGATATGTTTTTCAATCCTCACCAAGTTGGCTTGTTTCCATGAATGACAAATGTGTTTGAAGACAGCAGAGCAATGTTGTTCCAGTGCCTGGCAGTGGGCAAAGAAACAAAGTTGCGTGCATTCTTGTGTCGTGTGGGCGAATAAGAAAACGGCAGACGAGCAGCTAGGGGCGGAAATTACACCCCGGGATGTCAGATTACTGTACGTTTCATGACAGTGGAAAACAGGCCAGAAAAAGGGGCTTCAAGTGCTGCGATGCGTTTCCAGGCATGAGGCCGTTTTATAGTGTACATAGTCGACAGGAAGCAGGCTTTCATCTCCCCCGTTTGAACACAGAGGTAAAGGGGGTGCTGATATGTCTGTGTCTAGAACTCAGGCTGGCAGGCACACAGAGAAGTGGTGCACTTCTGTTCTGCTTAGATTAGACTTGAAACAAGGCTTTATATTATACATTTTAAGATTACCTTTAATTTTATCCAATATCTTTGTCTTATCTTGCATAAAGATCTTTTTATGTGGTGTTTTCCATATTTACAGGTTGTATGATAATCCTAATCTCAATAAGACAAACCTTTAGCTTGCAATCTTTATGATGGATCACACAAGGTCAAAAGATGCATCTTTGGATGGAAAATGTAATTAGTGTCCGATTTCTGCTTATGTACCCCCAGGTCGGACTGTGTGGACATCTTGACCCACTGTGGGGACTTCACCCGCTTCCCAGAAGGGCAGACCCCTGAGCGTATCTGTGATCTTCTGTCCCCTACTGATGACCCAGAGCGATGCATTCCCCTACACAGATACCTCAGTGAGTCTCTCATGTTCTTCAACTTTAGCCGAATATTTTTCTTTCTGACTATGAAGTTAATCTGTATGTGCAATCACTCTGGCGCCCTCAGCTCCAAGCCCCTTTGAAAACATCATTGAGGAGGTGATCCATCCCTGTAACCCCAACCCATGTCCCAGCAACCATCTATGTGAAGTGAACAGGAAGGGCTGTCACCCAGGACAAGACTGCCTGCCTTACTTCTGTGTGCCTGGTACTCTTCTTTGCTTTCATTTCACACATTTCACACTTCTAGAGCAGCAACTGTTGAGTGTTTCAAATTTTTTTTTAGAATTTTTCATCCTGTAACTTGATAAGGACTATGTGCTATGTGAAAAATGTCCCCTTAGCACAGATGTGTCTGAGAAGACACGTTTTACATTGATGCTATGAGGCTAATGTCTCTAAAAAGGAATGGAAACATATATATATATATATATATAAGTTGCTTATCCTTCGGGGTTGCGGGGGTAGCTGAAGCCCATCCCAGCAGTCGTTGGGCAGAAGGCAGGAAACACCCTGGACAGGTCGCCAGTCCATCGCAGGGCAGCAAGAAAAAAAATGCATAAAAATGTTTGCAATTTTTGCTGCCCGGTAGCTTATTTTCACCAAACTGACTTTTAGCGATAAAAGTGGTTTACATAATGATGAGATTTCCTACAAAACAACATTGCCTCATAGGTTTTGGCATAAAAAAGTCATGTTTGACATGTTTCCATCTTTTATTTTATGTATGTGGTAACTTGTGTACCCTCAACTGCCCTGACATCCCCATAACCCACTGATATGGAAGATTTGTTTATTTTATTTTATTTGATTTTTCCAACATTCCATTTAGAAAGGCTGTAGCCTTTTCTGGACATCTATCTCTGTAAGTCCTAAACAGTGGCAGCATTCCTTTTAAAGACACTCTCGTCTCCTCCTCAGTCCAGCTACACCTCTCCACACTGTTTGTGTTTGTTTTAAGAGGCATGTGAGGGGAATCTTTCACAGGACAATAAATCTATGCATGACTGGGTTATTTTTCCTGAAAAAAATAAATCCATAAACATTTATAAGCTAAATGTGGAAGAAAAAAAAGTTTTATCAACATCGTCATTTATGGAAGAATTGCATATCTATATACATATGTATACAGTGCCAGGAACCTCTAGTCTGTATGAAATTAATTAACAACTGCCTTTCATGCAAGTGTGTGATGCAGTCTGCACAATGCTAAAGGGTGGATAAAAGTTTCCTTTGCTTTTTAGCTACATTAGCTTCATAGCTCAAGTGCAAAACTAAAGAAGCAAACTTCAGGCACCAAACATCTTAACTGATCAGTTCTACATTTGGGTTATGGGGAAAATTGTGCAAATTAGATTTTTTTGCTGAACTATTCCTTTAAATTAATGTCTTTTTTAATGGGATTTTTTTTCTGGTGGCAGGCTGCAAACTGGGCGAAGCCTCTGAGTTCCTGGTGCACATGGAGGCGCGGATCCAGGTGCCTGTGCGTAGTGGCCAAGTAGGCTGCTACGAAGTGTGCACCTGTGGCCAGAGCGGGCGGCTGGAGAGCTGCGCTGTGATGCCCTGCATTGACACCACCAAAACCTGTGTCATGGGAGAACAGAGGAAAAGTGAGACACGCATGACTCTGTAGACTCAAAATGCTAAACATCTTCTGAAAAATTTGTATGTATTATATGTCCAAAGGTTTGTAGATTCTGCTCGTCCATCGTTTCTTCTGAAATCAAGGGTATTAATAGGGAGTTTGTCTCCCTTTTGCTGCAGTATCAGCCTCTACTCTTCTGTACACATAATGGAATATTGCAGTGAGGATTTGATTGCATTCAGCCACAAGAGCATCAGTGAGGTCAGGTGCTGATGTTGGATGATTAGTTCTGAATCACAAACACCACTGCAACTCATCCCAGGGGTATTGGATGGAGCTCCATCTCTCCAGAGAATGCAGTTCCACAGCCCAGTCCTGGGGGGTTTTATACCCCTCTAGCTGATGCTTGGCATTGGGCATGGTGACCTTAGGCTCAGCTAATAGAGAGCGTCCCATTGTATTACCATCGCTTTTCTTTGGTGATTATAGAGTTTAATACATACACAGTGTTTTTTAAAGAGGGCAGTCAAATTCATGTGACGATGACCAAACAAGTTATCTTGGATAAAAGGAGGAAAATGTTTAGATGCTTGTAATAAATATCTGTTGCTCTATCCTGCTTTCAGTGGAGAAAAAAAAATAGAAAAAGAACTAGACAAGAGCTAGACCAAATGTAGCTCCCAGCCTTCTCCTGCATCTGTAATGCCTAGCAAAACATTACATTAAACAAAGAAAGTAAAAGCCACCGCATGCTGGAATTTCCTTCCTGTGGTCTCTTTCTTGGGCAGCCTGAAATGTCACTAAGCAGCTTTCGGAATGACTTCTTAACGCTCCTCGGCACGAGCCTAGTGGTGCTATAAATGAGTGTGATTCATCAGCCTTTCATCAGCCTTCAAAATAGTAGCAGTATGCTCTTTTTTGTGGCTGCCACCTAGTGGTGTGGTGTCACTGACAACAACAGCTGAAATGCATAACCTCACACTAGTAATAATCACCATTTCTTTATTCTTAATAGGGATGTTTGCTGCAAACTCTGGCTTCTAAGCAAACAAATGTACGGCTGAAAATTAAAAATATTATCATAAAAACAAGGAATTGCCTTAAGACAAGTATGCAAGTGCTCAAATAGTGTGAGTCTCTTGTAATTGAAGACAGGGCTTTACCATTACAGATGCTCATAAATGCCTGTTTTGTAAACAAACCATTTTTAATGAATGAGTTTATTGCTTTTTCTTTCATGTTTATTTTTACTCCACTTCTAAGGGGGTCGGCCATCTTGGGCTTATTTGAGACAGATGTGGTTTGCTTAAGAGAGGACTAGAAAGGCTTATATGCCTGCTTCAGGAGTGTTAAGTAAGGAAAGTGAAGTGATCTTGTGGGGATTTTTATCAGTTCCTAGGGGAAAAGTTGTGGAGACTGCCACACTCTGCTCTAACTCTGCTTCTCAGAGTTCAAAGGGAGCACGGCCAGTATAGAGGGAGTGTGGCAGAGACACATTGAGGCGGATTTCCTAACAGCTTTTCTAAGAGTTAGCCATCAGCTTTACTGGGATATGCAGTACCTCCGCTTAGATGATTGGTTCCTTTTGCTTCTTGCACTAAAATTGTGCAACTAAAACTGAAAAATTGCTTTAACATACAGCAAGCTAGTTAGATGTGAAGAAACTGTTCCATTTCATTGACTGATAGATCTGATCTTGATGTTGCTCCATTGGTCGGAAATATACACAATGCAGTGTAAATAATGTAGGCCAGATAAGAGCACTCACACATATTTGAATGCTGCTGCTACACCTATACTAGAATGTCGTAGCATAATTATGAATGACTTATGGTGATGGTCATTTGCAGCTTATTTTGAATGTAGCACATTATTTTATGTCATGTTATTTAAATAAGCAGTTTATTTTAAATAAAACAGTTTAAAATACCAGTTTAGCCCATTAAAGAGCAAATTATGTTAGTTATAGGTCAACTTAGGCTAATTAAAAAGTATTGGAAATGTGCAAGTGTGTTTCATGTATTTACTTAGTCCACAAAGCATGAGCTTGTGGTTCAAAAACCCCAAGCTAATGCTGTGAAGACTTCAGAATCAGAATCAAATTCATCTGATCGGTGCATCTCTAAACAGACTAAAGGGAAAATATCAAGATACTGATAAGTAACAATTCTGGTTCTTACTGGTGTTGACTGGCTTGCTGTGTATCTCGTAGGTCATGGAGAATCTTTCAAGGTAGACTGTCACTTGTGCTCCTGTTATGCTGGAGACACCATCTGCTCCTCCCGCCAGTGCCCCAGCCTAGAGCACCCAGACGAGGACCGCCGCCTCTTCGTAGGTGAGTCTGTGTGTTTGTGTGTTTCACTTTTTAGTTTAATTTTACAGTACTGGGAAAAGTCTTAGGCCAACTGGTGAAATTATGTTTTTAAGCTATATATTCAGGGTCAGAAAAACAATAACATTTGAGTAAATACAAATAAACATGAATACAATAAACTAGCTAGATGTTCTCGTATCTGTCAGTGTTTTCACTTAACCATTCTCCTCAAGGCAGCTTAGTAATTGTACTTCGAGTACCTGGTTTAGCTAATCAATCCTTAGTTAAATTAAATCAGATGTGCCGGTGGTGGAATTTAACAAATACATTCAGTGGCTGGAACTGCATCAAGGAGAAGAGGAACCAAACCTGTCTACTTATAACCAACTCATAAAATATCAAGAACACGACATTTGTTTCAATATTTATTTATATTTATTTTACATTTTTTTTAAAGCAATTTCCTTTAACAGAGTACTGTATCTGTTTCATATAGCACCATCACCAATTACACTAGCTATGCTAGTCTAACAGTCTGCTGTCTACTGCTTTTTCACTCTTCTGTCTTTCTGTCTCTCCTTCTTTCTCGGTCCCCCTTAGGCCTTCCATGTGGCTGTGCTGATCATTTTGTTCCTGTGTGTGCCCGTAATGGACGTACGTACCCCAGTGCATGTGTGGCGCGCTGTGTGGGCTTCCAGGATAATCAGTTTAAGTTTGGCTCCTGCAGGAGTTCCGAACCCTGCTCACCAAACCTCTGCCAGAGGAACCAGAGGTGAGAGCCGTGTCACTCTGATCACACCATTCACAAGCTATAATTACACTGATCAGCATTAAAAGACATCAAGCTTGTTGATGGCTTTTAAGCTGCTGAAGAGGGAAAAGCCTTGTTTGTAAAAATACTAGTTAACGCTGAGAAGTTAAGAGTTATTACTTTCATTTTGTTATGTTATATAGTTATGTACAGCATACATAATACAGTAAAATGAAAGTTTATATATTACGTAATTAATTACGTATTGAGAGACATTCTGTATCATCAGATTGACGTCTCCACTTTTTCCGTTTGTTTCAAATCAACAAAAACATGGAAAACATGTAATGAATGTTAACTTTTTAGGACCTATGCCTAAAAGTGGCCGCTTAGACACATTTTGTAGTTTTAAATGCTGAGCACCTTCTAGAACTGGCTTGTAACTCACCCACTTACTTACATACCCACTCGCTCACATTTAGCAGGCTAAAAATTCACCACAATTCTCTATTAGCAGTTAAATTGCTTCTGATTCTTCATAAATGTAACAGCTGGCATGAATGACACTGTTCTTGTTGTCTTCAATTTGGTGGTATAATACACTATTTTGAAGCAACCAGTGTGATCTGATTCAGAGCATTTCAGTTCAGTGATTGTACACAAATATTCAGTCTAAATAAAACAAGAAATGAAAATAGTGTGCAAAAGAAATATATGACTGTATAAACAGTAAATGACCATTGACCAAAAAATGGCAGCCATCTGTGTCTGCTGTGATGTATGCAGAATTAGGAGATTTCTGCAGATGTAGTGTGGATTTTACAAGGAAGTAAAATTCAGAACACTTTCAAAAGCTCAGCGTCTGTACTATTTGGAATATGAAGCATGTTGATCTCAAAATATTTAGTTAAATGTTATTCAAGGAGATGAGATGCGTCTGAAGTGTTAAACGCTAAATACCGTTCGTAAGACAATAAGAGAGGATCCGTTTAACATAAGTGCAGATGTAATAGCAGTGCTGTCTACAGCCTGTCTCAAACAGTGTCTAATCAAGTATGGTTGATGGTGAAGCTCATTTTGTGGCGTTTCCTCGTTCACAGTCTCCGTGTTCCTCAGGCTTCTCATGCTTATCCTTGACAAGCTAGCCTCATTGTTTGTTCAGGTGTGATGTTCAGGCTTCCCCCCCTAGCCCAGGCTAATTTTGCCTGGAGGAGTATGTGCAGAGAGAGCGTGTTGTTCTAACCCTTCCTCCGGATGCTCCCGCTGGGCTGTGAGTCCTTTAGCCTTAGGGGCTCAAACTCTTTCGGGGAATGGACCTCATGGGTGCCATGGATCTTACGTTAGCATTAGCCACATGCTAATGTTTGTTCCCCTCCTGGGGCAGCTTATGCAGTATGAAATTTAATTGAGGCTGCGAACGCTGTTGACATTGAAGAGCACATGGGAGCGTTACTGAAGATAATTTCATTACCCCTTCGACTGTGGTGCTAATTGTAAGTGAATTAATCAGTCAATTAATCACTTCTTAACATCACTACTTTAATTTCTGTTTCTTTATGGTCTTCCTATTCACTGCAAAGTAGGTAGATCTTTATACAGCTAATGTGACAACTTAATGAACCATCTGTTCGTCTGTTCTACACACCTTGACTTCACTTTTTTACTGTATATTCAAACTCTTAGAATATTGTCTGCAGCTCATACCCAAATGATCTCAAGACAAGGTCTCACAAAGCTCTTCAGCACATCAAATATGGGTCCTCATTGTGTATCCCTCCCTCTAAGATAAATGTCTTTTGGAATCTGTCTTATGTAACAGCCAACAGCATGTTTCATAACATGCCTTCCTGGCACAGCGTTCAAAGAGAAAGTTCTGTTCCGTTGTTTGTTCTTTTGTAAACAAGGCGATAAAATGGCGGGCCCTTGCTGTTAAAATCCTGATTGAGGAGCTTTTACGGAGCCAACCTTGATGCACTGAGTTCATCGAGTCTGGTTGCCATGGAGCCAAGTTTCATATGTCTGATAGAGAGAGTTGTCTCAGGTCTGGTGCTTTAGCTAAGGGTTGAGATATGTTCTAACTATGCCTGTATAGAAGGTAAATTCTGTCACTTTAAAGCAAACACTGTGTTTGAACTTGATAAGTTAGTAACATAAGAATGTAAAAGAGATTTTTGTTGTGTGAACTATTAGAAGTTTAGTTGACTTAAAACTTTAAGGCAGCCTTGGGTTGTATTACGGAGATATCCAAACTCTAAAATCTTACCTTTTTTGGTCCCCCTGACAGCTTCATTTAGGACTGAATTTTGGACAGTAGCTATTACTGAATAACTGTTCCTAAATGTACAATCTTATTCAAATCAGAAAACAGAATTACATAAGTATTATAACTGGGCAAAATTTCATAAACACTGTCCTAAACTCCAGCATCATAACTTCTGTTTCTGTTTTATATATTTTTTATTTTCAGTTTTAGGATTTTTTTTCCTACCCCTTTTTATGTTTTTCTCGAATTCCTGTTTTCTTCTTATGTTTCCTTATCCAGCACTTTGATTTGCATTTCAGTGTTTGAAAGCTGCTATATAAATTAAGTGTATTCTTGTTTGCTCTCTCAGGTGCATCCCTAAGAGGCGGGTGTGTCTGACGGACACAAAAGAGTACCCGTGTCTGCAGTATGAGTGTGTGAGCCGCCCTTCAGGCTGTGACCCGAACCAGCTGGATCCTGCCTGTGACACAGACAACATGGAGCATGCTAACCTGTGTCTGCTCTACCAGCGGGGCAAGACCCTGGCCTACATGGGACACTGCCAGGTACTGTATGTCACTGTATCAGTAGCTCTCAGTTTCTGTGTACAGTACCAGCTTGGACCACTGTTCAGGGTCACGTGGTACAAAATAACACTTTACCGTAATGAGGTTACTTTTTCCTATAACAAAGCAGTGTAACACATTACAGTATGAATTTTTGTAATCACGTTACAGTTACTGACTTCATAAGAGTTTTTTACTTTTAATAAAATCAGTCAATCAGTACTTTTATGTTGAGAACAATATTCATTACGCATAGTGCACTAAAAATATGTATTTTGTATTTATGTACTATTCATGCCTGTTCTTGTGTATAATTTGCATGCGTGTACTACTGACTGCACAGTTTTGATTATGAACGTGGCGTTAATCATGCTAATATGAAACTGATGGACAAAGAAGAGAAAGACCTAGCCTCACCTACACAGGCCTGGCTCAGTTTTCATTCCGAAACAGCTCTGTAAGCTTTTGATTATTTTATTCATAATAATCTGATTTCTAGGCAGCTGTTTTTGAATGGTTAGTACAGATTTGTATGGGTTTAATAGTAACTTACAAGGAAACTACTGAGTAGTGAAGTAAAGTAATCTCATTACAGTTTTAGAGAAGTAATTGATGATTTGAAATTCAGTACTTTTTTGAGTAACTACCCCAACACTAGTTCAGACTCACCAGATTGAATTGGTGTTTTTCAAAACCTTAAAGATGTTTTGATCTGAAGATGTGTTCTTGGAATTTATTTCTAATACAGTTAAAAACAGTACAGTTGATGCCTATGTGTGAATCCTAAACAAATTTCAGCAATCTCCTTATTCCCAAATTCCACATATAAATAATATTTGAAACAAGTGCTTCAACAAGCACTCAACAAATGCTCAGCATATGTGGAAGCCTATTGGAAAAGTATCCCTAATGAAGCTGCTTGAGTGAATGCCAAGACTGCAAAGCTGCATTAAGGCAAAGAGGGGCTACTTTTAAGCTTAAATATTTAAATATTTTATATATATATATATATATATATATATATATATATATATATATAAAATGTGTGTGTGTGTGTGTTTATTTATTTGTTTGTTTGTAATTTGTTTAACACATTTTGTCACTACATTTTTTTTATAATTAAAATGTGGGAAATAGTAAGCGAAAGGAAAACCCTTCAATGAACAGGTGTATCACACTTTTACTGGTACTTTAAGTGTCTTGTATTGATATGCAAGGGGTATGGATCTTGTGCAACACAGGAAGCACTTTGTTATGAAATAGTGAAATGCCTCACACTTTGTGTATACAGTTTTAGCGGATGGGTGACGCTTGTTATGTGTATGTTATTTTCCTGATGTGACACCAGGTGGCACTATTTTGCACCAAACAACAGCAGTAAAACCACAGAGAGTAAAACCAGTGTGTTCTTGGCCTCTCACCCCAGGCCCTAGTTTCCAGCGGCTGGGTCAGGAGACTGCATCCACCACATTAACTACTGCTGTCTGCTGAGGGCAAAGCCATTCATTTACCTGCAGCTAAAAACAGCAGTCTGAACACAGAGACAAGTGTGTTTACTGATGAAAAGAACTTTCATTACAGGAGTAGCGCAGGGTGTGTTCTCAGGGTAAGCGCTGTGCAGGATGTGAATGTATCACCCAGGTTGTGTACAGTACTGTGTAAAACACTGCTTTTTTTAAAGTCATTTATTTAATTCCCTGTCAAAATAGCCATTATGTACAACTTATTCATTTTTCAGGTTTAGGAGAAAAACAGGAAGCATATTTAACAGAAAACCAGACAGAACCCACAACAGTTAAATACAATATCAAAGATATTGGAGACTTGCTTTTAGTTTTGAAAGAAATCTGCAGATACTTTTCTACACCTCTTCCACACCTCTCAGAGATACTTTTCCACACCACCTCTTCTATCTACGCAATCCCAATTATAGATTTAGACTAATAGTACAGTTGTGATATTTTTTACTTATTGTCTTTTGACTTACCTTTTACTTCTACGAGTGATTGTATATCTAATCTTCTCCTGAAGTATGAATAACTCCCACTTAATTGCCATTTTGACTGGAATTTAAATAAATACCTGGTAGTCTCTGACTTTTGCACTGTACTGTATGTGTGTATTTGGCTCCCTTTTTATGTTAAACTGGGGAGTTATTGATTAATCCAATGTTTACATGCAGAAAGTGGGTACATGACATCATCCTTGAGTTGAATTAATTGCATGACTATATATGTTTGATACAGAGCCTCAAAAGCTGAGTATCGTATTGCCAGTTAACCTCAGAGTAACCTCTTAGATCTTTTTGGCCTCTCTTTGATGGGTTTCAAATGATTTGCCTCATAGGAAAAATCTCTCACACATACAAACCCTCACCAAACTAACACCATCTTTCATTACAGCTCCTTTTTATCACTCCAAATTAAAATCCCTTAACTGTGTCTCACATTTCTGTCTGTACTCTGCTGCACTTAGCGAAATGTGAGTATTTAGAATCATTTGTCAGCACTTCAGATATGGAGTGTAGATTTTCCTCTGTGGTGCTCAGGTTGCTCCTGCTAACTGGCTCCACGTTTCCTAAGGTCAGGTGTTGTGGAAACCAGGCAGATCAATTACTAGCTCATTAAAACACCTCAGTTGGGGCAGCAGACCAGCTAACAAGGATATGTGCATGCTCAAATCGTTGGCAGTCACGTTTAAAGAGAGGTGTTTTGCCAGTTTATTCTCCACCATGAGACTGATTCATTAGCTAAATACTGCAGGTCATCTGTTGGACTTAGGAACTGCCACATTACATGACTCAGGGCTGATTTTCACACTGATGAAGCCTAGTCTGGGACTGACGTGTGCTGTGAATGGAAATTGTCCAAAGACAAAATCTGTTTCAGTCTGAGACTTGGCTGAATCTGTGACTGGGTCATCATGCTTTCATGCCATTTCATGCAAATTCAAATTTTCCTCTTTTCGAAATATAGCGTTCACTCTTCAGTCTGTATGTTCCATATATGGAACCTGAGCAGCCTATTTTGAATTTGTTGTTTTTGTGATGTCACAAAAACCAGCACATTTACATATATCCACCTCTGCAGCCTAGAGCAGTTTAGTTCCTCCCATTCATGTTGAAGTTATTTCAGCATTGACTTCTGAATGAGGCACAATACAGTGAAGCCATTCAGAGCAGAGATAATGTACATATGTCAGTTTTAAAGGCACAGTAACAAAAACGGCCAGGTTAATTCTCGGGGAGTTGGAAAATTATCATGTAAAAATAAATTTAACGGCCTTTTTGGTACATAAACCCACACTAACATCATAAATGAACTACAGGGGAAATTTTTATGAAATAAACTACAGATGGCTTAATCTTTGTACAGTATTTTCAGATAACTTGTGTAAACTCGTTTGTGTGTGTGTTTTGGCTACAGGATGCCTGCAGAGTGCGTCAAGAAGTGTGTGGACACAACGGTGAGACATACAGCACGGTGTGTGAGGCATTCTCTGATCGTGTGGCTGTGGACTATCATGGCCTCTGCCATGCTGTGGGTGCAGTGTCAGAGTTCATGGCTGACTCTGGCTGTAACGCAGTGCCCTGCCCACCTCTCTCCACACCGGGCTGCAACCCCGTCACCCCACCTGGTCAGTGCAACTGCACCTCTCACTCACACATACACCTGGGAGTCAGCAAAGTTGTAGTCTGCTCTGTAGTATCAATACCTCCAGTTTACAGAATGTAGCGCTGGCAGAATCAATAAAATTCAATATCACACATATCTACATCACAGTATCAGTTGATGTTTTAGACTGCATCGCTTCCTGAGTTCTGCTGCTGTAGGCTAAAAGAACATTTTACAAACCTGACTCGGCTTGTTTTGATGTAATCGTTTTGCTTAATTTTCTTCTCTGAAAATTACGACAAAGAACCTTACACGATATTGTAAACATTAAGCAGACAGAAAGCACATTTTCAGGAAGGAAACTTACTGTTTGTTCATTATTTTGAAGTTTTCTTTCAGAGAAATCTGAAGCAACCTGCAAAGTTTTTGTCAGTCAATATGATTAGGACAAAAATTAACTGATGTGTGACACCAATCCCAGTATACCAGTGTAAATGGTACAAAAACGTGCTGGCTTGGTAGGAAAACCAGAAAGAATAAGGCTAACTTTGTAAACTATATACTGTTTGTCTGAATCAAGGGTGTTAATCGGGAGTTTGTTCCCCCACGTAACAGTCTGTACTCTTCTGTGAAGGCTTTACACTAGATGTTGTAACATTTCTGTGAGGATTTGATTGCATCCAGCTAAAGGCGCTCTATCACTCCAGAAAACGCAGATCCACTGCTCCACAGCCCAGTGCTGGGGGGCTTTATATCCCTCTAGCTGATTTTTGTCATTAGCCAGGGTGACCCTTGGCTCATGCACAGCTGCTCCAAAGTGTCCCATTCTATTGGCAATTTTTTTCTGTGGAAATTATACAAGCTGTGTGTGCTTAACTGAATGCCTGTGTCAGCAGTGGGGGAGCCTTAAAATAGCTGAATCCACTTATTAGAGAGGGTGTGTGGATATGTTTGGATACTCATTGTTTCACTTTTTAAAACTGAAAGGGCACAACGATTTTGCTTATTGAGGTTAGGTTTGGTTGATTCTTACTACATATAGACAGCTACATATCGTCACTGTCAGAGCAAAACCTTGTATGTCCAAAATATGAACAAACATGCTTGAATTTCAATATAAGTTAATCTTACAAGGTTTTGTTTTGGACCATTTTTGTCAGACCATTTGTCATGAAATTCTGACACTGTCTAAATAGCAGCTGGCATTTTCAAATTATGGGAAAAAAAAAGTAAAAGAACAACAAAAATTGGAGAAACAGGGTATTGTTCCAACAGCAACGATATATGTAATACATGCGGGACATGTAAATGATGCCATTTTTGACATTGTATAAAAATGAACCTACGTGTGTGTGTCTAGGTGCGTGCTGTCCTGTGTGTGCTGGAATGTTGCAGATCCTCTGGAATAAACAGCAGATGGATCTCTTTGCTATGGTGATTTGTCTTCTTGTTTTTCTCTGTCTGTATTTATCTTAAGGCTTCTTTCAGTTTTATCATCTTCTCCTGTTCTGTCTGTGCGTATGTTCAGTAACACCAGGTGAACAGTAGATGGCAGCATGGGTCACACTTAAATAAATGTACTTCAATATATTAAATGACAGCACAGAGTTTGGTAAACAAAGAAGTGTCGTATATCCTTCATGGCTGCTATAACGAAAATAGCCATTTATCGAGAGTTATTAGGGAGTTCAGGGTTAACCCACATTGCATGCCGTGTCCTCAAATGATGATGCTGCCTTATCTGCCTAATCTTGTTTACGTTTTACTGTTGTTCCTAAGGTTAAATGTCATACACTACTCTGAATTTAAGGGTTATTGTTTTTACAGTGCTTTATTTTATCTGAAAAAAGTCATTTTAATTCCCAGTATGTTTATGCTTAACAAATTAACCAGTACTTCACCACAGTGTTTTACCTAAGCCTGTGCTATTGTTTATGTATGTTTTTATTAGCTGAACCAGAATCAGCCAGTAACAGTGCATGACATTCTGAGGATTCTGCGGCTGCACATTTCTGTTCCTCAGTGCGACATCTTTGGCTACCTGAGCATCGACTCTGAAATTGTCATCCTCATCGTGCCTGTGGACCAGCAGCCCACGCCACTGCAGGTGTGTGCTTCCGTTTGTGTGTAGGGGGGGCTCAAATTTAGGTCATTTTCCCCAGAACCTAAATGTCACCAGAACTTTTAAGCAACTCCAAACTTTCCACCATAATTAACAGTATCCCTCTTAATGACCTAATAATGATTAACGAGATGTCGTGACAGTTATGAACTCATAATAGCCTCTGAAATGATCGAGTAGCAAGTTCTTTAAGTCTAGCTTGCTGATTACATACCCCAGTCCTGTGAAGGTCATGGAGAAGAATATTGCAGAATTTATTAGGGATGCACTGATCCGGAAATTGTGTGCCAATATAAATCAGACATGGATATCATTTCTTAAAAATATTTCATTTACAAACTCATTTCCAAATAAGTTTGTTGTCAATAAATGCAGATAAATACAGAAAGCAATGATTTATATGTATACTTTGAGAAGTATTTGAATGAAACAGTGCAAAGATTAGATATTTAATGTTTTATCTCATCAACTTTGTTTTTGGCGGTGGTGGTGTGTTAGTGTGTGTTGCGCTGGTCTGAGTGGATCAGACACAGCAGTGCTGCTGGAGTTTTTAAACACCTTGGTGTCACTGCTGGACTGAGAATAGTCCACCGAACAAAAATAACCAGCCAACAGCATCCTGTGTGGTGCATCATGTGACCACTGATGAAAGACTACAGGATGACCAACACAAACTGTGCAGCAACAGATGAAATATAAATTAATAGTTAGTGAAAAGAGCCTGTATCTAACACTGGCAATTTGTTTGACCACAAGTAGCAATTATCTCTTAGTGATTACAACTGAAATATGTTTTATTAACATGACATCAATATTGGCAAAATAACTTCATATTTTCTCATTCTGTGAATAAAGAGTTTTTAAAATGTTGTTGTTTTAAATTTATAGGTAGACATGGACTGCTTTCATTGTTAACTTTGGTCTTCTTAATTGTAACGCTGTGCTAAAAAATAACCCTGCCATGTAGAGGCTGCACTTTAGCCTGGTTAGCTCTCACTGTGAGTAGTTCACAAGCTTTATGAACTTTATGAGCTAAATGGTGCACAGGCATCAAGAGGGTGAGTAAAAGAATATACGTGTGAGTTCAGTGACTTACAACAGTTATCATATTGATGAGATATTTAATGTTCTATCTCATCAACTTTGTTTTTGTCTACACAAAAGAGCAAGGACATGAGCAAAGAGGCGAGGTTGAGACTTGCTACCTTGCCAAAAATGCATTAGCAAAAAATCCAGCAGTTTGAAAATAACCATCTTCAGCCAGGGATTGCAAGGATTTTAGGTATTTCACCTTCTACTGCATAATATCATCAAAAAGGTTCAGAGAATCCAAAGAAATCTCTAAAAACCACAACTGAATGCCTGTGACTTTTGACCCCTTAGATGGCACTGCATTAAAACTGTCATGGTTCTCTGATAGAGATCACATGGCCTTAGGAAGACTTTAAATAAAACATCACGTCCATCAAGTCATCCGCAAACGCAAGTTAAGATTGCACTGTGCACAGTAGAAGCCATATGTCAACAATGCCCAGAAACACTGCCGACTTCTCAGGGCTTGAGCTCATCTGAAACAGACTGATGCACAGTGGAAATGTGTATTATGGTCTGATGCGTCCACCTTTCAGATTATTTATGGAAGAAATTAACATTGTGCTCTCTAGGCCAAAGAGGAAAGTGCCATCGAAACTGTTACTAGCCCAAAGTTCAAAAGCCAGGGTCTGTCATGGTATAGGGGGGGTATTTTAAAAAAAAACTAAAAAGTTTTGGAGCAGCATATGCTGCCCTTTAGATGCCGTATTTTTCAGGGACGCACATGCGTATTTCAAAATAAAAACACCAAGCCACATTCTGCATGTTTAACAACAGCATGGCTGCATAATCAAAGAGTGTGTGTGCTAGACTGGCCATCCTGTCTCCTATTGAAAATGTGTGGCACATTATGAAGTTCAAAATACATCAACAAAGGCCAGCAAAGGTACAGCTAAGAATTTGTATAACAGAAGAATGGTAAAAAAAAATTCCACTGTCAAAACTGAACAAGTTAAAGTCTTCAGTCACAAAACGATTATTGTTTTTATATTATTGCAGTGTTTTTAAAAGGAAAGATGATGTAACACATTAGTAAATATGCTCTTGTCCTAACTATTTGGAACTTGTTGCTGGTATCAAATTGGAATTTAGTGTATATTAACAAAAATCAACGTTCTTAAGGTAAAACATCAAATATTGTCGTTTTTGCATTGTTTTAAATACAGGTCAAAATAGATGTACAAATCACTGCTTTCTGTTTTTATTAGCATTTCACATACTGTCCCAACTTCTTTAGAACTGGGTTTATGATTTAACATACATTTTTTAAACTCCATATGTTCCTATATTTACTCTCCTTTAGTCAGAAAAGTCAGCTGTAGCTTTAAATTGTTCAGCACTTTAACCTCTTCTGCCCGTATCCCAGAGTTTTACGAATAGAACTTTGCAGTAGGTAGTTTCTGAAAGTCATTAAAAGTATACGGCCTGACCTGCTACTGGGCAAAGCTAATATGTCTTCCTTTCACCCTCTGGGGGCAGTTTCTTGTTCTTGCATCATATTTCAGATATTTGTTTATTCTACCTAAAAATACTGCCTCATTCTCGATCACCTAGTTGCCATGTGTGTGCTAAAATGACCTGTGGCTCTCAGTAAACAATTACTTGAATTCTCCCTGTCTGACTGTTTATTGGTGATATTTTTTTTTTGCCTTGCACTAGAGTCTCTTCTGCTACCTCCTCAACTGCCTTGTACTATTCCTGAAATGAAAACATAGTCCTGTAGCTTGTGCATGGAAATTGGCTTTTGTCAAAGCTGTACACTTGGCTGTAATTATATGTTGTTTTGGATGAAAGCATCTGGCAAATAAATAAATGTAAAGGTAGGGGAGCACAGCCTAACACATTTTGTTTTTCGCTGAACCATGTTTAAAATATTTGAGCAAGATTAAAATTTTTTATGCAACCAACTTACACATTTCTTCTACAAATGAAATTTTGTTTCAAGCACATAACATTCAAAAGAGAAACAATTCATCTGCCTATTTGTGTATATACACTCACCAGGCACTTTATTAGGAACGCCTTTTTGTTTCTACACTCATTGTCCATTTTATCAGCTCCACTTACCGTTCAGATGCGCTTTGTAGTTCTACAATTACAGACTGTAGTCCATCTGTTTCTCTGCATACTTTGTTCACTCTGTTCTTCAGTGGTCAGGATCACCACAATGCAGGTATTGTTTGGGTAGTAATTCATTCTCAGCACCGCAGTGACAACGTGGTGGCGGTGTGTTAGTGTGTGTTGCGGTGGTCTGAGTGGATCAGACACAGCAGTGCTGCTGGAGTTTTTAAACACCTCAGTGTCACTGCTGGACTGAGAATAGTCCACCAACCAAAAATATCCAGCCAACAGCATCCTGTGTGGTGCATCATGTGACCACTGATGAAAGACTACAGGATGACCAACACAAACTGTGCAGCAACAGATGAAGTATAAATTAATAGTTAGTGAAAAGAGCCTGTATCTAACACTGGCAATTTGTTTGACCACAAGTAGCAATTATCTCTTAGTGATTACAACTGAAATATGTTTTATTAACATGACATCAATATTGGCAAAATAACTTCATATTTTCTCATTCTGTGAATAAAGAGTTTTTAAAATGTTGTTGTTTTAAGTTTATAGGTAGACATGGACTGCTTTCATTGTTATCTTTGGACTGCTTAATTGTAACGCTGTGCTAAAAAATAACCCCACCATGTAGAGGCTGCACTTTAGCCTGGTTAGCTCTCACTGTGAGTAGTTCACAAGCTTTATGAGCTAAATGGTGCGCAGGCATCAAGAGGGTGAGTAAAAGAATATACGTGTGAGTTCAGTGACTTACAAACAACAGTTATCATATTACATAAACACTTGATGAAATAATGTAAAACTGTCATTTTTGTGGCACCGAAACTTCAGCCTTCAGAAATGTCTGTCAGATAACTGTCAAAATTCACAGATAATGTTGTTATGGGAATGCGAGAAGGATACCAGAAACACGTACATGTTGTGCGCCATGGTATCCTACAAGGAAATAAGATGAAGCCCTGTTAAGCTTCATTGCTAAACAGCAGTATGTGTCCCTTCTGTATCCACAGATTGAAGCCTGCAGTAAAGAGGCGGAGAAGATTGACTCTCTGATCAACTCGGGCAGCCCTACGCTGGTGTCCCACGTGCCCATGTCCGCCTTCCTCATGTCTGAGCTGAAGCTTTCCACTGTTAGCTCGGCTGCTCCCCCCAGCGCCTCCTCCCTCTCTCTCTGCCTCTGCCTCCTCCTCTCCATGTTCCTCCTCTCCTTCACAGGGAGGGCCCCATGGAATGCTTAGACACGAGTGCCCCCCTATGCTCCTCAATGTCTGTTGCCAGGCAGCTGGACCGCACCGTTGACCTCTGACGTTCTTCCTTGGCCAGCCCTTTTCATTACTGGAAGCGGCTCTGGTCCGTGTAGCATTGACAATCAAAAAAACAAAAAACAAACAAACAAAAAAAAAAAGCTGATGAGAACAATCATTCTAACTATGATGGGACAGTGAGGTTTTGGACTCATCATTAAATCATTGATGGACTGTATTGCAAGCTGTATTAATAAACACAGCTTTGCTGTGTTTGAATTATCTTTGCTAATCCATTTTACTCACAGTACTGCATTGGTGCACAGAGCAGAGCATCAGAAAACAAGATGAAGTGGAGCAGATTTCTGGCTATAGTGCTCTTCTCTGCTGCCTTTTAATTCCATTTTACTGGACCAGGTACTCCTCTGTGTGCTTCACCATATCAAAGTTTTAAACCCTTCATATCGTTTATAGGAGGAGCTGATAAAAAGCACTCAGTGGAAGTGGATTAGGCATTCCTCCCCAAGCTGAAAGACAGAATAAAAGGGATCTTTCTTCGTTCCTCCCTGTAGATCATATAATAAACCTAAAAGGAGGAACTTGCAGCCATGTTAAATGAATATGACAATCATATTGCTTATCCACAAGTGGGTAATCACAGTATGCCTTGCTTATACAGTTTATATATATATATATATATATATATATATATATATAAATATATGTAAAGATTTTTTTATATATAGCATTGCAGAAACTAAAAAACTATGTTGATAAAAATAGCGAAATGTTTTATTTTAAGATGTTTTCTGACCTGGTGGTCAGAGTCACAATGTGCCATTTTTTAAAATCTTATTCTTGCATGATGACAATTATGAAGTGTTTTTACAGAAAGCTTTGTATTATGTGTCCTGTATGTCTGTCCGGTTACATGTTATGTCTATGCCTATGTCACATGAAGGGTCTCCAATTTTTTAACAGTATTATTGTGCTTAGGCAGCTTTGTAGCATTCCCCACCAGTGGAGCTTTGTGCTGTCCTGTATGTTTGTTTCTATGTTTGCAACTCAACCGATGTGTATTTTTATAAGATAATAATAAAAGTGTTCATATTGCCAAATGTAGCTTGTTTCAAACCCACGTAAAGCGCCACCACTCATATCTTCAGTGGCTATTTTTAACATTGCATTCAGACAGAAGTAGTCAGTAAACAGTACTGTGCAAAAGTCTCAGGGCCCAATGTATTTAGGAGCACAGACACAGCGCAGAATGTGTCTTGATCTGACCTCAAAATGTGCCTACAATACGCCTGAATATAGCGTTCGATGTACTAACAGCAGCTTATCACCAAATTGCACGCTGCCCTGCCCACTAACCACGCGCTCCTCCTGAGACGCAGAGTCTAAAAGGTGCTATGAAGTAAAGGAGCCAGTCATGAAGAGAGAGCAGTCTTCACAAAGTTCTTTTCTACTTAAACATTATAAACTAATTAGCAAGAGTTTTTAAAAGGCTATTTAGGCTCCTGTATTCACTCAATATCCACTTTTTTCCTTCTTTTTTATATGTGAATGTATTTACAAAGAAGATAGAAGGCGATAGGATTAACATTTGCTTAAATATATGGCCTTTTTAAAGCACTTTTATAGCTTAAAATAACCTTAAATGTGATATAAATGGGGATACTGCATGAGAAGATTTATGTAAATAAACAACAACAACAGCAATAATAATAGAAGATTAAAGATTTCATGCTTGAACATCTAAATGCTTCAGTAAATGAACCCATTGTGTTTATTAACTAACGTTTAAGTGAAAAATTGTTCCTGGTCTTGTTTTATACATGATAAAACTGTCAGCTCAGCCCAGTTAGACGTTAGCATTCATTAAGCAGTTAAACCAGGGATTTTAACTGGTATTAACCAGTACAAAACATTCATGAAATTTTCATGGAAATCCATGACATGAGCTGCCAGGCCCTCAGTGAGCCAGCATGGCCAAACCCAAAGGCTATAGGCTAATAGAGCATACACATATAAATTCAACACATTTTTACTGAGCTTCATAGATTCATCACAATGTACTAGATGCCTTAAATAAAATATAATTCAATTTTCATGATAAAATAATTTGCTGCTATGTTTTGTGATCCAGTGGTCAGTGTCTGACACTGTCTGTTTTCACTGATCCTATTCGTTCTGATGAGCATGTTTTTATTTATTAATCGTGTTTGCAACAGGTTATATTTGCGCTCATTACTCACCTTCAGAAAAGGTAGAGTGGGAAACAGAGTTTACATGTGTGGGCTGCTTTTAGAAACATTACTAATCTTGCTGAGGCATTTTTTAAAATTATTTGTCAGGTTGTGTCCGGCGCTCCATGAGTCACGAGCTGCTCCTCCCTCTGTTTCCAAACAAAACAAAGGCCATATCTTCGACCTGAGAGAGAAAAATCTTAACAAAAGGCTTTAGTAAAACCAGCACCTGATCCTGAGAGTTTAAATGATGTCATTCTGTTGGTAAACATTCTTTCAGAACGTGACTGTCTGTCTAAGCTGTGTCTGTTCTCAGCAATACGTCTTTTGAGAGTCTAAGGCGGTGGTTACCAACCCTGGTCCTTCCTGCAGAGTTTCGGTCCAACCACAGCCTGCTCCAGCTAATCAGCTTCTTTAGACGGCCTAGTTTGGCTGGATCAGATGTGGTAGTGGTAGGTAGGATGTTAGATGCAGGTTGGAACTAAACTCTTCAGGAAAGTAGGTGTCCAGGAGGAGGGTTGGTGACCACTGCTCTAATGCCTATGTTCATAGCTGAACTTCAGTAAATGGAGTGGAATATGTAATGAGCCGCACCTCAATCATCTCCAGCCCTTTTTTGCGTGATCCTCCCCTGTTTCTCACAGCCCTCCCTCACACACATATGCATCCTCATGTGCATAGAGATAGAGAGAAGCACAGAGAAGCACATTCTGCCTTCTTCTATGCGCACAGCCCAGAAACTGTCTGTTTAAGTTTGTGCGCCAGTCGCTTTTCAGTGTGTGAAAGAATAGCAACAAGGCCAGACAACTGAAAGGAAAAGATTAGCTTCCTATTTTAACACCGATATGTGAGAGTTTGATTTTAAAACCGCATCACACAGCTGGCATGAAGCACAAACACTACATTATCTCTGTGTTAATGTGCCCATGACTTCATATTGTCTAATCTAAATCTGTTATAGCTAAATATATGTGTAGGCCTATAACAGCTAACGCAGCATATGGTTTAATTTCATTCATGCCTGAGTCATCTCTTTCAAAGGTAAATAACATATGGGCAGCTACATCATTCAGATTTAAGAATAACATGAACTAAAAGCCTTTGGTGAGCATAGTTGTTCTGAAAGGCAAATGTTTTCAACCTTGGGTCTAACAAATGGAGCATGAGATGTGGGGGGGTATGGGGGCTGAAGGGGCTGAAGGGGCTGATTGTTTTTTAGGGTAGAGTTTGTAATTTTAATTTATGTTTTATTTTCAGTTGTATGCAAAAGTTTGGGTGGGCCTGATTAAACAGCTTCTTGTGTGGATTTTCTAAGTGAAAATAAGTTAAACACATCCTCTACAGAGAACACACTTCAGCACACTGTAATGCACAATTACTGTTTATTTGCTGAATTTAACATACTGTAAAGAAGTTTTTTTCCCCCCAATATGTTAAACTTAGCAAATAACTATACATTGTGTACTGAAATTACTAGTAACTACACGGACTTCAGGGGTTAATTTGCTTTCTAAAACAACTAGTAAAGCCACACATGTTCAGAGTTTTATATGTAATGTTGATCATGGTAAAATAGTGGTAAATCTGAAAAAATACGTTTTCTTTTGGGACTCAAAACACCCTGCGTGTACCTCTCCACAATGATTGGATTTAAAAATATATGTTTTCGGCCAAAACTTTCTCAAAACTGTTGTAAAACAATGTCTCAGACAGGCAGCATATTAATAACCAATATTAATAACTATTTCACGTGTTTGCTTTCTGGGAGGGAGCTTTTAGCTATATTAAACTCTTCAGACGTCTGGTTCCTATCACCACCAGTGTGAACTATTCTGACACTGTAAGTTTCTCTATGATGGTGCATTTCACATCAAACCTCTCTGAATGACTTCAAATGTGAGTAATTTATTCTAGCAGAAATTTTGAAAAATTGGTGGTATTCCCCTTTAAGTAGAATAAATGAGTTTTCTGCTATCTTACTAGAGGGAAGCATGATGGAATTGTCATCTGTGTTAATCAGCTGGATTGATGTGGCACATAGAGATTAGGATGAAAAACACAAGAGCTTTCCGTCAATAGTTCTAAATGTCCAGTAAACAGCCTTTAAGCTTCAGCCTATTCCTGTGGATCTAACGCAGGTTTACCAGCCTTCTGTTTGCTATGAGCAGCTGTTAAGTACTTTGAAACTGATTTGCTGTCACACCACATTCTCCTGACATACCCGTCATTAACCGATAATGATAACAATCGTGGTCTTTGTTACAAGCCCCCCACAAACAAGCTTTACACCATTTTTGGTTTTAATTCAAAATGACTTTAAAGGTGCAGGTTTCCTAGAGTGATGGTGGAGCAGCTTCTGAATGACAGAACCTGGTGGATATTGATGTGAATATTTATTGATAACCGATAACCGATATTGTTGTGATCAGTGCAGCAGTGCAGAAAGCGTGTAAACGTCTGTCAAACTGGGTCATGTACATGCTACCAGTGTCTACACACACGCATGGGCAGAGGAGCTGAGTCACAACTGTAAGGAAGGAAGCAGAAACCTGTACACTCTGTTTCATACTTTTCTCACACTCCCAGGATGATGCTCTTGGGGCTTCTCTTAATTTTCATCGTGATAAATTATTCAGGTAAGAGAAAAATGGTCATTCTTTATGCAAATGTTTTTAGTTGCAAAGCATTAATTTAGTTTCATCTTTTTTTTAGTAGTTACATCAGCCATAATAAATAATGCCTTGACACTGTAATTTTCACTAATGAAAAACTCAGCTATGAAGTCTTACAGTATTTAAAGGGTATTTACAGTATTTACAGGCCACCTTCAAGAATTTTTTGTTTCTTTTTTCTATGATATTTGTTGTTGGGTATGGGCTTTACATGTATAAGAAATATAGATGCTATAATATGATTAATATTAGAGAAATAATAATGTTTCCATTATATATCAGCTGTTATTCCTTTCAAAAACGTGTTCTGGCCAAAAGTGTTACTTTAGAATGAAGCTCTTTATATCCAGTTCACAGATGAGTTTAGTAACATGAGACACGTTAGAAGGATAAAGTTTCACAAACTGACATTGACATGTTGGAACAAAACCTTCTGTTTGCATTTTTATGTTTTTTTTTTGCCTTTTTCACATAACTGAAGAAATGTTTACTGCTATTTTCATTGTGTTAAAATTGGTAGAAATTGAAATACAATCTTATTTCATCAACTTCATTTTTAACTTTAACTTAATCTTCGGTAAAGTTACCATTGTGGAGATGTGAGTTTTGTTCTGACAATGACAACATGAGCTAGCGCCGTGGCTAGTGGTTTTATTTTCTTACTTATAAGGAAATGAGATAATCCTCAGAACAGTTACTAAAAATGAGTCCACTTAGTATTGCTCTCATTTCCAGAAGGTTCTCTGCACTGTGTAGTTACAGTGAATCGCTGTGCTGTAGTAATGCCCTCCTTTAAAAAGCTCACTGTTAAAAGCACAATGAAGTTGGATGAAAGGAAGGATGGATGTATCAGGTCGCACTTTTAAGTTTAAAACAATAGGTCGGCCTTTAAATGATGGTGCTATTGCAGCAGTTGGAGATTCTAAGATGAAGTGAATTGATCTCAGTTAATTACTTCACATTCTTAAAAATAAACGATCATAAATGGTTCTTTGCGGCGGCTGCCGAGACCCAATATACAGAACAATGAAAAACATGTTGAGAACTAATAAACGTGATGTAAATTCAGAAACGCTTCATCAGTATGACTACACTCAAGTTACATTTGAGAAACACGCTGCAAATACAGAAAACACATGCAAGTTCAGAAAAGTTGCAAAGCCAATCGCAAAACAACAGAAATGTTTCTGGAAGCCCCTTAAAGGGGGTGGAATATCTGCGATGGAAAGTCACTGACCGAAGTTGATAAAATCACAGAAACACACATTCCAGTAAGTTCATGGCTGGATAGTTAGCTATCTGACATGTTATAGCTGTACTGTGGTGTTCTCCATCACATCTGGTGTTGCTACACTGTTAGAAATAAAGGTTCTGTGCAGGTAAATTTTTCATTCATCAAGGTACAAACAATGTAAATGTTCCCTCAAAGGTACAACAGTGGTTTTAAGATCCAATTGTGAACCTTAAATAAGTTTTTCCAGGTGAAAAGTTCATATTTGTACCTTTTCATAACCGAACGTTTTAAAACAGAACCATAAAATAAAAAGCCTGGAGACGAGGCGGGGTGTGTGGAGTCAGTACAATTTAGAAAATATAATTTCAGTGAATTATAGTACAGTTATGTTCCCTGACTAAAGGTACTGCAATGTACCCTTGAGGGTCCCACCCCAGTGACAGTTTCATACCTTTTTTCCAAGAGTGTATTTGAAATTGTACAGTTACACTCTACAGCTAATTCCCATTACAATACAGTGATATGAGTCACCTGCTCAAATAAAAGTTAACTTGCTTTAACTGGTGAATGTTTATGCTGCATAGAATTGAAAAGTCTGAATGGCTTCATTCTCTTTCCTCAATGTTTCCGTTGTGTTGTAGTGTTTCTGAAGTTGTGTGCTTCCTGTATTTGCAGTGTGTAAAAGGTAGCGCTGGTGTAGTCACGTTGATGAAAGTGTTTTCTGAGCTTGCAGCAAGTCTACAAATTTGTAGCGTTTTATTACGTTATCATTTTGACGGAAGTGTTTTTTATTGTGCAGTGTGCTGGATCTTGTCAACCACCCTAGTTTTTGGATTGGAGGTACGGTTCTAGGAAAAACCTTTCACTGGTGTAGAATGACATTATGTGGTTTGTATGGTGTAGTGGGTGACACCTCTGCCTTCTACACTGTAGACTGGGGTTCAATCCCTGCCTGGACAAGCACCCTATACTTTACCGATCAGAGTCCTTGGGCAAGACTACTAACGCTAACTTCACCTACCTGTGTAAAATTATCAAACTGTAAGTTGCTTTGGATAAGAGTGTCTGCCAAATGCCATAAATGTAATTGTAGGCTCTGTAAACTACAAAGACACATATTTATAGAACCATCCACTGAAAGGTTCATAAGGGAACTAATAGAAGTTCTTTTATGGCATCGCTCTAAAAAAGTCCCATTTTGCACCTTTATTTTTAAATAGTGTGGAGAAAAGAAATTACTGTGCCTTTTTTCTACATAAATTAAACATAATGCTGACCACTGTCCCAATACTTTTGGTATTCCACTGCTCCAGAGCCCAACGCTGGAGGGCTTTATACCCCTCCAGCTGACGCTTTGCATTGGTCATGGCAATCTTAGGCTCAGAGCTCAGAGTCTCAGCAAGACATTTCAGTGCTGCTTGTGCACAATTGAATGCCTGTGCCAGCCATGGCTGTACCTTCAGGTAGCTGAATTCACCAATTAGAAGGGGTGTCTGAATACTTTTGAACACATATTGTAGTCTAACTAAATTCTCATTTCCTTTGTTATGTTGTCCCAGATACTCTGGATATCATTACAGTTGGAAAAGTATCCGTACAACAAGGACGGTCCATTACGATCCCATGTTCCTATGATCAAAAATTTCAGAATGATTTGAAGTATTTATGTTTTGGAAATCATTGGTTGTTCTGTGCATACGTCGAGTACTCTGACCAGCGAAAAAAACACAGCAGAGTGTCCATCTCAGACGACAGTGCACAGCAAACATTCACTGTGACTATGACGAGCATATCGGCGACTGATGCTGGTTCTTACTGGTGTTGTATCGAACTCAGTGGGCCAGATGTTAAACAGCACCTTGAGTTACAGGTCACAGAAGGTGAGATCATGTTTTTGAACAACATCTCCATCAGTTTCTAATCTTATTTATAGGCCTCTGGCTGCATTGAGCTTGACCAGTAAAGAGACAGAAGCAATAAGCAATGAATGAATTAACAACAACAAACATGCCATTTCTTTGTCTGACTTTATCTGACGCCTGTCCTCAGGTGCTCCTGATCTTTATGTGAAGAATCAGACGGTCACTGCCAGTGAGGGCAGTAGTGTGTTGATTTCCTGCTTTCATCAAAATCAGAAACCTAAAAGGTGGTGTAAGCTTCGTGGGGAATGTGGGAAGGAAAGCATGCATGGAGCCACAGTTGAGCTCATTGACTCAGACAAATGTCTTAAAGTTAACATTAGTAATCTGAGGATGGAGCACACTGGATGGTACTTTTGTGCAGTGGGGGATCTACAGATGCCTGTTTACATCTCTGTGACAACGAAATTACCTGCTCAGACAACAGCACTCAATCAGCCCAGGTAAAACACTGCTCCCTTCTAGGGTTGCCAGCTGCCCAGAACTTCCCTGCATTTCTACACACAAAATTTCCAAGCATTTTCATATGTTAGAAAGTTTCTTATGAAGTTTAAATTGCTTTTTGTCCGGTTAAACCATTTGTATACAAAGAATGGGTTTAATTTGTTCAGAATTCCCTCATTGGAGGAACAATTGTTTGGGAAAAGTGCACTGCTGGTGATGTGTTTAGGCAATGGGAGGTTCAGCACTATAACTGACAAGATTAAGTTCTGTAGCTGTTCGTCCAGCAAATTTTACAGGGATGAGATGGCAATCCTACTGTCTTCAGTCCATAAACTCACACAATTTTACTCTGCTGGAGCTACAAGGCTAACATAGCCATCAAGCTTATGCTCAATACCTAGCTAAAACAGAAGTACCTTCTATTTGGAAGCCTGTATTTTGGTTATTGTCTGGTTTTCTAAGTCATGCATTTTCACAAATCTGCTAGAAAAACAAGCATAGACCAGCAAAACTAGCATTTGTTGTGTTTTAGATGCTGATATGCTGGTGAGTATGACCATGCTGAGTGACCAGCTATATTAGCAACAGACCAGCATAAACCAGTTTAGACCAGCATTGAATTTTCCTTAAAGACAGGATGTAGGGATGATTTCAGGACTGCTAAAATGGTTTATCTGTAGCTGCTGTGGTTGCTGTTTTGTATCTTCTTGTCTCTCCAAATAGTTAAAATGAAAAAGGAAAGAAACAACAGATAGTATTTAACGTAACATCACAGTGTTTGTTGCATACAAACAAACTTAAAACACCTTCTTGTGCCCCTGCAGTGTCAGAAACCACACAGGCAAGACTACTTGAAGTACCGTATACTTAGCAGCTTAATGTGGTTTGAGGCCATTGTGCAATAAGGCCTGCAGTCTGCACAGTGCTCACCCAGTGACTGCACATTTCCATTAGTTGTTATCAACGTTAGCTGTGTGGCTCCAGTGCAAAACTAGAGAAGGAAACTGCAAACTTCTGAACATGCTTTGGTAAACTGGGGTCAAATTATGTGTTCCTAGGGTCCTGTATTTGTTCACTGAAGCTTGTAGAAAACTGCCCCTTGTACCCAGGTCCTGTTTGTATGCTATGCTCTGACTTCTTCTTCTTCTTCTTCTTCTTCAAAAAAGATTTGCATTACAAAGTTTGCAGAGGTAGCTAATTAACTCACTGAGGCTAGCTTAGCCATGGACAAATGTGTCATTATCTGCTCCTAATAGCCTTCTAATGACTTCTGATGACCTCAGGACCTTTAGCATGACATAGGAACCCTCAGTGTATCATATTTGGTCAAATCACTGCTTAGTCCTATGTGAAAATTTGACCGCTACGGTTTAAATGACATGTTTTGTTGATTTTCGAAGTGAAAATAAGCCCATTACAGGAAACACACTTAAATAAAGCTAATTTTAGTGCGTAACTTCTATTTATTTGTTGAGTTTAACAAATTAGAAAAACATATAAGATTAAGAGATATAAGATATAAGATTAAGAGCATAAAATATAAAATGTGCCATAACTTTTGCACAGGCTGTATGTTTTGTTTATTTTTTTGACATTCATATTAAATTCAGCAAATAAACAGTAATTGTGCATTAAATATGTAAAAGTGTGTTCTCTGTAGAGGATGCATTCACTTATTTTCCCATCAACAAAACTTGTACTTTGACCAGTGGTGCACATGCTGTTGCAGACGACTGTATTGTACAAACAAAGAGAAGAACATTTCGTTCTCCTTAAAAGTCTGCTTGGAGTTTATGGGGATGCTTGTATTGTTATACAAACCTCAGCTGCAATATAGAAAGCAAGCCTCTATAGAAAGTGCTGCATTAAATGTATTCTGTTACAGAAACCCTGAGAGAATATCATTTGTGTGGCTGACAATACCGGGAGTGGTGCTTGTAGCCTGTGCTGCAGTGATTCTGATCAAGCTACTTAAACAGAGTAAGTCATTCAAGCAATGTTCAATATACATTCTGCAGTTTACTGAATGTGGGCATTATGGTGGAATGATGACTTAAAAACTGTAAAAAATGGAAAGTTGGTATCAAGATACAGGGTAAAAATGGTGTGTAGTAGATACATAATGAATTCTTGTAGTAAGAAGCATTATAGCTGGTTTTATTAAACTCATATAAACACTTTGCATTAAACAATGCGAAGTAATGCATCAAATAAACAAAAGCTACATTTTACATTAATTCCAATATTAAAAACTCTTCAAATCCACTTTTTACAGTGTAACATGATAAACCTTATATATATATATATATATATATATATATATATACACACACACATGTGTATAGGCAATTTATAGGCAATTAACTTCAAACTGAATTGTCTAATATCCTACCTTTTTTCAGAATGCAAGTGTAAAACATCCTCTGAGCAAAACAGAACTGAAAATATTTATGTAAGCATGTGTAGGAAAGAGTCATCAAAAGTAAGTACAGCTTAAATGGCTCCATTGAACGTCCTCTGGTCTTGTGAAATATCGTATTCAATCTTTTCTATTCTTTCTGATTACATTTAATACATTGATGCAGCATTTGTATCACTTTGCCTTACTTCAGTAGAATCTTTACAACCAAAAAGGAGAATACTCTGACCTCCACCTTCACCTCCATAAAATTCAACAAGATCCATAAGAAACACTGACTTGCTCTGATTTCATGAAGTGTACAGGTCAAAGACACGATTAGACCACACTGAGATCATTTTTACACTTTCTTCTAATAATCACACATTAATTCACCTTTTTCTTCTTTGAACATCAAAGCAATGTGGAGCTCAACAGTGCCAAGGTGAAGGAGTGTATGAAACCATGTCCATGTCCAAGACTTGGAAAACACCAGAGGTATTTCTACTACACAGGAAAAAGCACCATATTTCTACTGTACTTTTAGTCAGGTTTCTCACCAGTGTATGAATAATGTTGGCTGAGTTTTAGTCTCAAATCCACTTTCAGGGATAGTGCCACTGGGCCTAGTTGACTCCATTTTTGTGATTGGTTGAAACCATTTTTAAATGAATACAATGTTTTTAGATATGGCCTAAGCAGATTTAATACACTGATAAAATAAAAATGCGTTAAGTGCTTATTCTGAAATTTGTCTGTGACCCTGTTAGTGCCCGCCTGGTGTGTAAGACGTTCTCACTCGTGGAAGCTCTTATGTCTTCAGCTACTTCATGCAAGGCTTAGGGGAAGATATGAGACAAAAAATGTCAGACCTCAGTGACATAAATATGACACATTTAAGACATTAAATATACTATATCTACAATATATACATAATCTAAAATATGGGATCAACTTGATGATGTATATATAGTTAATACATGTATATATAACAAATATAGTAGAGAAAGTACATATTGTCAGACTGTAGCATAAATATAGCAGAAATAAGGCATGATGTATACTGTATCTACTGTATACACTGCTGTTCAAAAGTTCAGATCAATGTTTCCAATATAAAACCAGTTTGTCGCAGGTACACATATAAAATGATTTTAATAATATGCTACTTCTCTACAACTGTATGTGTTCCAAATTATTTGCAAGAAGCTGTAAAAAATGCAGAAATGTTCAGAATGGCAAACAGAGCTGTAGATTATTTCTTAATAAATAAGAAAACTTTATACCACTGAAAATGGATTTAGACTAAAACAAACATCCAGAATGCCCCAAAGCAAATAATATACCAAGGAATTACTATGAATAGTTTATCTGTCATAGATTTTTATCATTTAATAACTTGTTGATATTTCAAAAACATATTCAAATATTTTCTGTTGCCTATACCTTAATAAAGAACCAACAACAATTATTAATTATTAATGACAAATGATTCCAGTTGTTTTAACTGGAACACACACACACACACACACACACACACACACACACACACGCACACACAACAGTTGAAACATGGTATTCTTGTGCTCCGTGTACAAACTCAGTTCCAATAAACATATTGCGACAGTGGGTGAAATGTTAAACAGAAATCACTGATTAGTAAATCCTGTTTAATCTACTTTAAATTGAAAACGACATAAGAACACATTATTTGATGTTTTACTTTATGAACTTCATTGTGTTTTTGTAAATATATGCTCATTCTAAATATGATGCCTGCAACGCGTTTCAAACAGCTGGGAGAGGAACATGTTTACCACTGTGTTACGTCACCTTTCTGTTTAATAAGGTTGAAAATGTTGACTCATTGGACTATGTTTGTTGATGGCGGTTTGTCAAAGTACAGGGTGATTTAAAAAGATTCATCCAATTTCAAAGCGCCATATGCTTGGAACCGTGAGGCACTTAGGAACCAATCACATACCATGGTGACCCCTGAGCAGAAAGTGTTTTGCGTTCTCCTCTTCAATAAGAGTGAATCCGTCATAACTGTGCAGTATGATTTTTGTTGGCAGTGAACCTCCAACAGCTCAGAGCGTTCATCGTTGGCTCCACAACATCTCCGAAATCGCATTGAAGGAGTTGTGAGTGCAGCGACACCCGACATGCTTAATCGAGTATAGGATGAATTTGATGTGTTGATGTTGTCTGTACAGCTGGAGGAGGGTTATATTGAGCACTTGTAAACTTATGTAATAAACTTTATGCTCACTTAAATCATTTACAGTTTACTGCATTGTTCTATAATGTTTTACAAGTGAAACAAATCGTTCTGAAATCAGATGAATCTTTTTGAATCACCCTGTATTCCTGAACCCATTTGGTGATATCCATCACAGAAGTATGCTGGGTTTTTCATGCAGTGCCATCTGAGGGGTCAAACGTCGCAGGCATTCTGTTGTGGTTTTCAGCCTTTTTCTTTACACACACAGAGATTTCTCTGGATTCTCTTTTGATAATGATATTATGCAGTGTAGAGAGGGAAATGCCTGAAATTCTTGCAATCCCTGTCTGAGGAACATTATTTTTAAACCAATGCACTTTT